GGGCTACCACTTAGAAAACAAAATAATGAAGTTTTGGTACTTACGACATGGACTATTAGCAAGACACCTCATTCGTCAACTCCCTCGACTAGAGACTTGGGGGACTCCCACCATATGCTACTACGCCTTGGTACTCAAAAGTCTCACGTGACTACTCAGTGACTTGGATTTTTCAAGTCTCCAACCGAGAAGTTTTCCTCACTCGGGAAATTAAGGGAACACTACCTCAAACTACATGCTTCACTCACAAAGCTTCAACAATACAGGTTTCAACAAAAGCAAAAATTCAAAGAACTTTATGAAGAAGGCTTTGGTGTATTTAACACAATATGTTGAAATGAAGCAAAGCTTATTTATTAATATTTTCGATAAGCCACAAATATGTACATATACATGAGTCAAAATAAACAAACAAAAGGGAGCCTTCACAAAGGTTGCTTAGGGGAAGTCTCAGCAGTCGGTAGAGCCCCAGAAAGAGAAAGCACCGGAGGGTGGTTATCCGGAGCCTCAGTACTTGACAAAACCCCAGAAGGAGGAGGCATTGGAGGTTCATCATTTGAAGCTTCATTACCAGGTACAGCCCCAGAGGACGAAGGCAATAAATGCCTTTGGAACAAACCCACAAACCGCTGATGATCAAGTAAAACCTTACCATCAGATTCCTTCATCTGGTCAAGCTTCCTCTTCATGTTTGTAGCATAGTCATGGGCGAGCCGGTGCAACTGCTTATTCTCATGCTTGAGCCCTCTAATCTCCTGTTTGAGACTCATCACTTCAGCAGCCAATGATTCAACTTGGCGGGTTCTAGCAAATAGGCGTTGGGCCATATTAGACACAGAACCTGCACACTGAACACTAAGAGCCAGAGAGTCCTTAACAGCCAACTCATCAGACCGTTTGGAAAGTAGTCTGTTATCTTTGGGAGTGAGAAGGTTCCTGGCCACCACTGCAGCGGTCATATCATTCTTCATCACAGAATCCCCAACGGTAAGAGGACCAGTAGGGGATATGAAGGATGGGCGCCATATGTTGTCTGGAGAAGGCGTGGCTGTCTCTTCTCCAAGGTTCAAGTCAAAACGACGGTCGGAGGGTCCAGACATTTTCAAATGTGTTGAAGAAGGAAGAGGTCAGACAAATCAAGATCTTAGAAGTGCAAGAAATGAGCTTCTACTGGTAGAGATTCAAGTGTGCTGTGGAACTTAATGCCAGCCTCTATAAAAATCTGCACTCGACGGAGCTTCAGAAATCGAAGAGGCGTTTGCTTTTCTCAAAAGCTGGACTGCTCAGAGACCACGAGGGCCGATCTCAGAAATCGAAGAGGCGTTTGCTTTCTCAAAAGCTGGACTGCTCAGAGACCACGAGGGCCGATCTCAGAAATCGAAGAGGCGTTTGCTTTCTCAAAAGCTGGCTGCTCAGAGACCACGAGGGCCGATCTCAGAAATCGAAGAGGGTTTGCTTTCTCAAAAGCTGGGCTGCTCAGAGACCACGAGGGCCGATCTCAGAAATCGAAGAAGCACCTGCTTTTTCAGCCTCGTCAGCACCTGTCACATGCACAATCAGCTTTGCGGAAATTACGGGCAACTCTGTCGAAGATTTCTGGTGAAGTAGAAAGCACGTGAATCTTACTGTTCAATCACCGCTCTCCATATATGCACCATCAACTCCTCGGGTACCACATATAACTTTGTCAAAGATCTCTGACAAAGTTTAGGCACGAGAATTTCGAAGTTCCAGCTACCCTACTATTACCCATAAGGGTAAAGGAACAGCACCACTGCTTGACAACTGGAAAGTCCCTATGTGTGTCGACCTCCGTGTTTTGCGGCAAGACAGGTTGGCAAGAACGTCCAACCTTTACTCACATTCGAGAAAAGACTCCCAACATAATTACTTTCTCAAAAACCGGAGTAGCACCGCTTTCCGAATCTCGAGAGTCAGATCCTCGACGGGATTGCTTGTTCGAAAACCGAAGAGGCACAACTCTCAGAACTTCGAGAGCCAGATTTCCTTAGATAAAGCTTGTCTGTAATCTCTCCACACGTAATATCAGCTTTCCAGATACCACATACCACTTTTTCAAAGTGCTCTGACAAAATTAAAAACACGTGAAGCTGGCAGCTCCCACTACATTGCTGTGACCAAGAAGGGTAAAGGAATAGCATTACTACTTGTTATTGGGAAATCCCTATATACATTGACCTCCCTCCTCAACGGACAGGCAAACCTGCAAAAATGCTCAACCCTTTCTCGCATTCGAAAAGGCACCCTCAACATAACCTCTCGAAATACTCAGCTTTATTTCCCCCCGATAATACCTCAGCAAATAAGCCACACCAAGAACAAGAGTATCTCATATCATCAGGGTCGAAAGCAAGAGTATCCCATATCATGCTTTCTCCCTGTCTTTGTCTTTGTCCTTGTCCACACCTGCAGGACAAGGAGAAAGAGAGCAGTCAGTCGGAACCTGAAATCAAACCTCCAATTTGGAACTGACTGCCTGGAGCCTTTGCCTGGTTGCTTACTTAGCATTGCTCTCGAGTACTCATCCTCAACTGCTGTCAAGGTCACGAATTCCACCGGCAAATACCTCATGACAGTTGATCAGATATTGGCTCTTTACACTGAAGCTGCCAAGCGTGGATGAGTCACTATGAAGGAATGTTCTGAAGGACCATTTAAATGCAAAGGTTGCACACCACTTCTGCCATGCAAAAGATTGAAGCAGAAGGTTCAACGGTGAGCTGAAACAGATCACTACAGCACGACACCTTTCCATACCACATTCATTATTCCGTCAACAGCAAAAGTATCCCATATCATCAAGGTCGAACGTACTCTAGATTTGATGGACTTGTTTTGACCCTCAAATTTTTGAGTCGGCCTTATACTCTGAAGGGCACCAGAAAACCCTCCAGCACAGTTCAAGAATAAGCCTGTGGAAAGTTACTTCTTCAAAAGCAAAAGTATCTCATATCATCTCTTATCCATTTGCTTCTCCTTATCCTGGCAGTTGAATGAGAGACAAGGAGAAGGAGAACAATCAACCGGAAGCCGAAGTCAAACCTTCTGATCCTGGGTTGCTTACTTGGAAGTTTGACTGCTTACCTTGTCTGTCACCTCTTTCGGCAGATCTCCTAGCTCGGCGACTTGGGGGACTCCTACTATAGGGTTTGTATCACACTTGACTAAGCCCGAAACTACAACTAAGCTTCATCCAGTGAAATTGATACATTACCTTGTGCGTCAACATCAGCTAAATACACCATTCCCGGATGGAGGAAAGGTACTTCCAGAGAAGGGCAGATGAAGATCAGACCACACTTCGGTACTTAGAAGTTTCGTGATTACTCAAGGGATTGGATCTTGCAAGTCCCCAACCGAGGAGTTTCCCTCACTCGGGAACTTAGGGGAGCACTGTTTGTACCATACTTGACCAATCCCGAAACTACCGAGCACCGGCCAACTATACTGTCAAGGACCCAGAAGAGTTCCCCTCCGACCAGGAGGCCAATCACTACTCGACACGTGTCAAGATTAGAGGCCAATCAGAGCGCAGCACGTGTCGACATCAAGAACCAATCATAACATGACACATGTCAATGTGACAAAGCTACAAGTTTTTCTATAAATAGGGGTCATTCCCCCACAATATTGCCTAATGCCATTTTGTGTTAAATCATTCACAAGAACTCACTAAATTGAGAGCTTGATCCTTTGTACTTGTGTAAGCCCTTCACTACTAATAAGAACTCCTCTACTCCGTGGACGTAGCCAATCTGGGTGAACCACGTACATCCTGTGTTTGCTTCTCTGTCTCTATTCATTTACGTACTTATCCTCACTAGTGACCGAAGCAACCAAGCGAAGGTCACAAAACCTGACACTTTCTGTTGTACCAAAGTCTTCGCTGATTTTGTGCATCAACACAGTGAAGCCTATATCTCAAAGGTTTTTGAGAGGATCTTCAGTATTCAAAGGTCTTTGGCTTTTATGTTTTGAAAAAATTGAAGGTTCCCTCGAACGATATAAAGGAGGAAACTGCTCAGGTTGGCAAAAAGGAGGTGAGTTATCGTACTTTTTGTAGTCTTTCTGATTCTGGCCATCGGATACGATCTAGTCTTGCCATTTTCACTGCACCTTTGTCCATTTCAATGGTGACGATTCTCGTGTTGTTCCTTATTGCAGGCTTTGCATCTTTTAGTGGCTTCTTTTCTTGGCGATTCTACTCTAACCGATGTCTTCATCAGGCACGCGCCAATTAGCGATAAAGTTACAAAGATAGCTTTGTTATCTAATGCTTCTTCTGTCTCCATTTTCTTATGTTAGTGATATGGATATCAATGCTAGTAGTAGCTTACTTTGGAATCATGGGTTCAATATCTAGAAGAGGTTGAACTTTCCTTGTATATAATACATATTTAATGAACGTTTGTTCGTTATTAATTTTCTTTATCTAATGCAGGTTTCTTCTTTGTTTTTTTTAATCGTATTTTTAGTAATTCAGTAGACCTTATCAGCTGTAGTCACAGTCAGCTATCAAATGCATCAATCTCTCTTTACGTACCCAATTTAACCAAAATTGAACTAGCAAGTTGCCTTTGATATCTCCTTTGGAGATTCTGTTAACACCTGATTAGCTGGAGGTTAAAGCCATAATGCTATACTTAATTTTAGAGCTCGAATCTGCAGGTCCGATGAAACCATAAATTTCTTCCTAGTCAAGTAATGCATACCTCTTTTCAAAAGCTAAAGATGCTGGCTCTTTATATGCACTCCCCCTCAAGTGATCCTCACTTTAATTATGGTCTCTCCGGAGTGGTGACCATCTTTCTACTTATAGTACTTTCAGCATACCCTTTTCTTAAATTCTGTTTTCATTACCCTCGTCCTTACTTTGGCGATTTTACCGAAAAAGGTTTGTACTTTGAATTCCATGCTTTATTTTTTGTTCTAATGTAATTTGGAATTGAGCTGTTGCACTTTGTTTTATGCATACTCTGCTTGATATTCAATATATTCATCTGAAAATTAAACGTTACTCATCTTCGTATTGTACATATTTCATCACACGTATCGGTAGTAATTTGAAAATTATATGCTGGAAGGTACCTTAGGGGTTTAATTTTATTGAATTATTCATTCTGCAACCTTTAATCTTTCACCGTATGTAGCTGATTTGTTCCGGCTGCTTACTGCCATTGTACTAAGAAAGGATAAAAAAGACGAGTATATATATCCTTTCTTACAATCCATGGCTGATGAAACTACAAGGAATATCATAAGCTTGAAGGCATTGGTGGACAAGGAGAGGAACAATGTTATCTTCATAGAGTCTGACGATTTTATCGACATTCTATTTAGTTTCTTAACAATACCAATGGGAACAATTGTCAGAAATACCCGAAAGCATTCAGTACCGATGGAAATAGGTTGCATGAGCAATTTGTATGCCAGTGTTGAAAATATTGATGTTCAGCATCTCCAAACTGAAGCATGTAGAAGGATGTTGCTATGTCCCCACAGTGGGGTTGAACATCATTGCAAAAATCTCAAACTGAAGATTGATGATGATGAGCAGACGGGGTACTTTCTGTGTGACAGTTGGCAATGCACCTTTGACAATAAGTTATTAAGTCACTACAAAGGTGTCCGTTGTCAGTGTGGAGCATACATGAATTTGAAGTGCAGACTTTCAGGTTCATCCGCTTCTGAGAAAAATGGGGGCATCTTTGTCAACGGATTCGGTGGTCTTATAGTAACTGATGGTTTACATGTGATATCCCCATTATCTGTAGCAAGCAATACCTTGTTTATGGAGCTTGGAGTCATGAGTGAGAATAGTACTACCGAAGAACTGACTTTGAATGTAGGCGTTGATGAGGTAATTGAGCGTTGTTGGCACTTAATTTTATGTTCGTTATAACTGTAGTTTTGTGTTTCTCACCTCGTGTCTTTTTCTCCGGGTTCTGAATTTGATTAAGCGCTCATTCGTATCAAAGAAACCATTGACAGAAACTCTATTGGGTCACAATCCCAAACCAAAGCTATTAAGTAATGCAAATCTTAATCAACGAATACGTAGTGAATCTCGAATGCTTGGAGAAGACATGATCCTGATTAAGGAAGAAGAAAAAAAGATTTCTGTTAAGTTAACAGTTAGCAGGTCGAGAAATATTGTTTGTTATGCAGAAGCAGAAGAGGATTTTGTCAATTTACTCTTCGGATTCTTGACTGTTCCACTTGGATTTATAGTCAAACACATGAGAGAAGCCTCTTCAAAGGGGTGCATTGATCAGCTGTACAAGAGCGTCCAAGATCTTGATGAGCAGTACTTGAAGTCAAATTACCACAAGGATATTCTACTAAATCCCAAGCTTTATCCTGGTTTTTGCTACGAGAATTATCTTTTGGGAGTCGAGGATGGCTCAGTAGCCTCGTATTATTATGCAATTTGGTTTGAGGGACGTTTGCAGGATATATTAACAGCGGATGAAAAACTAATCCCTTCCACTGCAGTGACGGTTCCACTCAAATTGCTGGACAGTAAAAATCCTCATGGGTATTTGAAAGGGTCGTCAGTGTTCATGATAACTGACAAGCTGATCATAAGGCCTATATCCCCTCTCTTTGGCTTTTCGGTTTTGAACGAGCTAACTGTACCCTTGACTGACATTAAGGAGGAAAGTGTTCAGGTTGGCAAGAAAGAGGTGAGTTGATGGTTCCAATTTTGGTCATTAGTTATTGACAAAGGTACCTTAATTTGTCAACAATTGGCGACGTTTCTTATGTTGTTCCTTGTTACAGGCTCTGCAGCTTTTGGTGGCTTCTTTTCTAGGCGAATCTGCTCAATGACTCTCTCCCAGAGCTTCATTGTATGGCTCCTTTCTTGCCTCCTTCAATACAATATCCGTAAGTAATATCTTTAACCAACTAGTAATAGTATGCTGCCATTAATATACATAGCACACCGAATTGGTTGTCCGAAACCCGTGTCTCTTGCCTCAATCTATGCTCAATGACTCTCTCCCAGAGCTTCATTGTATGACTAATGACCAAAATAAGCCACCAAAAGCGTATGATAGGGTCCCAAGAGACATGGAGGCAATCTATCTCTTACGAAGATTGATGGAAAGATATAGAGATGGGAAAAAGGATTTACACATGGTCTTTATAGATTTGGAAAAAGCGTATGATAGGGTCCCAAGAGACATTCTTTGGAGGATTTTAGAGAAGAAAGGAGTACGAGTAGCATATATCCAAGCTATAAAGGATATGTACGAAGGAGCAAAGACTGCCGTAAGAACTCATGAAGGACAAACCGAAAGCTTTCCCATAACTGTAGGATTACATCAAGGCTCATCCTTAAGTCCTTACCTTTTTGCGTTGGTAATGGATGAGTTAACAGGACATATTCAAGATGATATTCCTTGGTGTATGCTTTTCGCAGACGATATAGTGTTGATAGATGAAACTCAGGAAGGGGTAAATGCAAAGCTTAACCTTTGGAGAGAAGTGTTGGAATCTAAAGGTCTTCGCCTAAGCCGATCAAAGACAGAATATATGGAGTGCAAGTTCAGTGCAAATGGAGGCCAAAACGAGTTAGGGGTGAGGATCGGAGATCAAGAAATACCAAAGAGCGACCGTTTTCGTTACCTAGGATCTATCTTGCAAAAGAACGGAGAATTAGATGGAGATCTCAACCATAGAATACAAGCTGGATGGATGAAGTGGAAGAGTGCATCCGGCGTGTGTTGTGTGACCGCCGTATGCCGTATGCCACTGAAGCTCAAGGGAAAATTTTATAGGACGGCAATAAGGCCGGCGATGCTGTATGGCACAGAATGTTGGGCGGTGAAACATCAACACGTACACAAAATGGGTGTAGCGGAGATGAGGATGCTTCGTTGGATGTGTGGGCACACGAGAAAGGATAAGATTAGGAATGAGGATATCCGGGGTAAAGTAGGAGTAGCCGAAATTGAAGGAAAGATGAGAGAAAATCGGTTACGGTGGTTTGGACATGTGCAAAGAAGGCCTACTGACGCTCCGATTAGAAGATGCGACTATGGGACAGAGGTTCAGGGCCGAAGGGGTAGAGGAAGACCTAGGAAAACTTTGGAAGAGACTCTAAGAAAAGACTTAGAGTACTTGGATCTAACGAAGGACATGACACAGGATCGAGCACAATGGCGTTCTAAGATTCATATAGCCGATCCCACTCAGTGACTTGGATTTTCCAAGTCTCCAACCGAGAAGTTTTCCTCACTCGGGAAATTAAGGGAACACTACCCCAACCTACATGCTCCACTCAGAAAGCTTCAACATACAAGCTTCAACAAAAGAAAATTCAAAGAACTTAGCGAAGAAGGCTTTGGTGTATTTAACACAATACGTTGAAATGAAGGAAAGCTTATTTATTGATATCCCGATAAGCCGATAAGCTACAAATATGTACATATACATGAGTCAAAATAAACACACAAGAGGGAGCCTTCACAAAGGTTGCTTAGGAGAAGTCTCAGCAGTCGGTAGAGCCCCAGAAAGAGAAGGCACCGGAGGGGGATCATTTGGAGCCTCAGTACTGGACAGAACCCTAGAAGGAGGAGGCATCAGAGGTTGATCATTTGGAGCTTCATTACGCGGTACAGCCCCAGAAGACGAAGGCAATAAATGCCTTTGGAACAAAACCCACAAATCTCTGATGATCAAGTAAAACCTGACCATCAGTTTCCTTCATCTGGTCAAGCTTCCTCTTCATGTTTGTAGCATAGTCATGTGCGAGCCGGTGCAACTGTTTATTCTCATGCTTGAGCCCTCTAATCTCCTGTTTGAGACTCATCACTTCAGCCGCCAATGATTCAACTTGGCGGGTTCGAGCAAATAGGCGTTGGGCCATATTAGACACAGAACCTGCACACTGAACACTGAGAGCCAGCGAATCCTTAACAGCTAACTCATCAGATTTCAGACTGGAAAGTAGTCTGTTATCTTTGGGAGTGAGAAGGTTCCTGGCCACCACCGCAGCGGTCATCATTCTTCATCACGGAATCCCCAACGGTAAGAGGACCAGTAGGGGAGACGAAGGATGGGCGCCATATGTTGTCTGGAGAAGGCGGGGCTGCCTCTTCAACAAGGTTCAAGTCAAAACGACGGTCGGAGGGGCCAGACATTTTCAAAGGTGTTGAAGAGAGAAGAGGTCGGACAAATCAAGATCTTAGAAGTGCAAGAATGAAGCTTCTACTGGTGGAGATTCAAGTGTGCTTTGGAACTTAATGCCAGCCTCTATAAAAATCTGCACTCGACGGAGCTTCAGAAATCGAAGAGGCGCCTGCTCAGAAATCGAAGAGGCGTTTGCTTTCTCAAAAGCTGGGCTGCTTAGAGATCACGAGGGTTGATCTCAGAAATCGAAGAGGCGTTTGCTTTCTCAAAAGTTGGGCTGCTCAAAGACCACGAAGGCCGATCTCAGAAATCGAAGAGGCGCTCGCTTTCTCAAAAGCTGGGCTCCCTCAGAGACCACGAGGGCCGATCTCAGAAATCGAAGAGAGGCACCTACTTTTCCAGCCTTGTCAGCACCTGTCACACGCACACTCAGCTTTGCGGAAATTATGGGCATTCTGTCAAAGACTTCTGGGGAAGTAGAAAACACATGAATCTTACTGTTCAATCACCCACTTCCCACACGCAACAATAGCTCATGGGTACCACAGATAACTTTGCCAAAGTTCTCTGCCAAAGTTGAGCACGTGAAGCTTGCAGCTCCCACTACATCGCTCTGACCAAGAAGGGTAAAAGAATAGCAAAGAAACAGCACTAACAAAGTTTAGACCCATAAATTTTGAAGGTCTAGCTACCATATTATTACCCACAAGGGTAAAGGAACAGTACCACTGCTGCTGGATAATTGGAAAGTCCCTGTGTGTCAACCTCTGTGCTTCGTGGCAAGGTAGACTAGCAAACATGCCCAACCTTTACTCACATTCGAGAAAACACTCCCAATAAGATTGCTTGCTCCAAAATCGAAGAGGCACCGTCCTCCGAATCTCGAGAGCCAGACTCCCAACATGACTACTTTCTTAAAAATCGAAGAGAGGGTAAAGGAACAGTACCATTGCTGGATAATTGGAAAGTCCCTGTGTGTCAACCTCTGTGCTTCGTGGCAAGGTAGACTAGCAAACATGCCCAACCTTTACTCACATTCGAGAGAAAACACTCCCAACAAGATTGCTTGCTCCAAAATCGAAGAGGCACCGCCCTCCGAATCTCGAGAGCCACTCTCCCAACATGATTACTTTTCTCAAAAATCGAAGAGACACTGCTCCCCGAATCTCGAGAGCCAGACCCCCAGCATGATTGCTTTCTCAAAAATCGATGAGGCATCGTTCTCCGAATCAATCGAAGAGGCGCTCGCTTTCTCAAAAGCTGGGCTGCTCAGAGACCACGAGGGCCGATCTCAGAAATCGAAGAGGCACCTACTTTTCTAGCCTTGTCAGCACCTGTCACACGCACACTCAGCTTTGCAGAAATTATGGGCATTCTGTCGAAGACTTCTGGTGAAGTAGAAAGCACATGAATCTTACTGTTCAATCACCCACTTCCCACACGCAACAATAGCTCATGGGTACCACAGATAACTTTGCCAAAGTTCTCTGCCAAAGTTGAGCACGTGAAGCTTGCAGCTCCCACTACATCGCTCTGACCAAGAAAGGTAAAAGAATAGCAAAGAAACAGCACTAACAAAGTTTAGACACACATAAATTTTGAAGGTCTAGCTACCATATTATATTACCCACAAGGGTAAAGGAACAGTACCACTGCTGGATAATTGGAAAGTCCCTGTGTGTCAACCTCTGTGCTTCGTGGCAAGGTAGACTAGCAAACATGCCCAACCTTTACTCACATTCGAGAAAACACTCCCAACAAGATTGCTTGCTCCAAAATCGAAGAGGCACCGTCCTCCGAATCTCGAGAGCCAGACTCCCAACATGACTACTTTCTCAAAATCGAAGAGAGGGTAAGGTAAAGGAACAGTACCATTGCTGGATAATTGGAAAGTCCCTGTGTGTCAACCTTTGTGCTTGCTTCGTGGCAAGGTAGACTAGCAAACATGCCCAACCTTTACTCACATTCGAGACAACACTCCCAACAAGATTGCTTGCTCCAAAATCGAAGAGGCACCGCCCTTCCGAATCTCGAGAGCCAGACTCCCAACATGATTACTTCCTCAAAAAATCGAAGAGACACTGCTCTCCGAATCTCGAGAGTCAGACCCCCAGCATGATTGCTTTCTCAAAAATCGAAGAGGGCATCGTTCTCCGAATCTCGAGAGCCAGATACCACATACCACTTTTTCAAAGTGCTCTGACAGAGTTAAAACATGTGAAACTGGCAGCTCCCACTACCGTGCTATGACCAAGCAGGGTAAAGGAATAGCATTACTACTTGTTGTTAGGGAGACTCCTATATATGTCGACCTCCATCCCCAACGGACAGGCAGACCTGCAAAAAATGCTCAACCCTTCATCATATCTGAGAGGGCACTCCCAACGAAGCCTTTCGAAATATTCAGCTTTCTTTCCCCCCGATAATACCTCTGCAAACAAGCTATACTAGAGCAAGAATATCTCATATCATCAGGGTTAAAAGCAAGAGTATCCCATATCATGCTTTTTTCCCTGTCTTTTCCTTTTGGCCTTGTTTTTACCTGCAAGACAAGGAGAAAGAGAGCAATCAGTCAGCACTTGGAATCAAGCTTCCAGCCAGGAACTGACTGCCTGGGAACCCCTTACCTGATTACTTACCTGGCATTGCTCTCGAGTACTCATCTTCAATCATCTTATGTTTCCAGGGAAGATTCCGCATCTGCTTGAGGAACAGATAGGGCAAGTGCGAAGGATACAAGGAAGCATGTGGAGACAAGCGTAACAGCACACGTGCCGATACATCCATTACTCTGTCAAAAGCAAAAGTATCCCATATCAGCAGGGTGGAACGTACTCTAGATTTGATGGACTTGTTTTGACCCTCAAATTCTTCAGTCGGCCTTATACTCTGGAGGAAACCAGAAAACCCTCCAGCTCAGTTCAAGAATAAGCCTGTGGAAAGTTACTTCTTCAAAAGCAAAAAGTATCTCATATCATCTCTTCTCATTTTTCTTCTCTTTATCCTTCATGCTGCTGCAAGATGGGGAGAAGGTGAACAATCAGTCGGAGCTCTGATTGCTTACCTTGTCTGTCAACTCTTTCAGCAGACCCCCTAGCTCGGCGACTTGGGGGACTCCTACTACATGGTTTGTATCGCGCTTGACCAAGCCTGAAACTACAAGTAAGCTTCAAGTGAAATTGATACATTACCTTGTGCATCTCCACCAGTTAAAGATACCACCCCTGGATGGAGGAAGAGTACTTCCAGGGAAGATGCCACATCTACCTATGAGACAGATAAGGCAAGTCAAGACGACACCACACTCCGATACTTAGAAGTTTCGTGATTACGAGATCATCCTCCCACAATATTTCCTAATGTCATTTGTACTAAATCATTCACTTCGTACTCACTAAAGGAGAGCTTGAACCTATGTACTTGTGTAAACCCTTCACAATTAATGAGAACTCTTCTATTCCGTGGACGTAGCCAATCTGGGTGAACCACGTACATCTTGTGTTTGCTTTCCTATCTCTATCCATTTATATACTTATCCACACTAATGACCGGAGCAATCTAGCGAAGATCACAAAAAGCGACCGTTTTCGCTACCTAGGATCTATCTTGCAAGAGAACGGAGAATTAGATGGAGATCTCAACCATAGAATACGAGCTGGATGGAAAGAGTGCATCCGGCGTGTTGTGTGACCGTCGTAGGCCACTGAAGCTCAAGGGAAAATTTTATAGGACGGCAATAAGGCCAGCGATGTTGTATGGCAGAGAATGTTGGGGTGGTGAAGCATCAACACGTACACAAAATGGGTGTAGCGGAGATGAGGATGCTTCGTGGGATGTGTGGGCACACGAGAAAGGATAAGATTGGGAATGAGGATATCCGAGGTAAAGTAGGAGTAGCCGAAATTGTAGGAAAGATGAGAGAAAATCGGCTCTGGTGATTTGGACATGTGCAAAGAAGGCCGACTGACGCTCCGGTTCGAAGATGTGACTACGGGACAGAGGTTCAGGGCCGAAGGGGTAGAGGAAGACCTAGGAAAACTTTGGAAGAGACTCTAAGAAAAGACTTAGAGTACTTGGATCTAACGGAGGGCATGACACAAAACCGAGCGCAATGGCGTTCTAGGATTCATATAGCCGACCCCACTTAGTGGGAAAAGGCTTTGTTGTTGTTGTTGTTGTTGGTATCTAGTGCGGGTTTTTTTCTATATTTATTTTATACGGATTGTATTTATTCATTTGTTTGACCGATCTCATCAGTTTGTTGTTCAATTAGAAGGTCACTGTGATGCTCCACTCTGCAATTTCATCACCGCGAGATCAATTGTCCTTTTTGGAATTGAGCATCAGTGATGCGATCAACCTGATGGTGATGAAAATGCAAGGACTTTTTGTAGACAAGTTCTTGCCTTTGATATCTTGTTTAGCGATGCTATCAACACCTCATTGGCTGGAATTGGAAGTAATTAATCTTATATTAAGTTTAGTGATGCTATTAACACTTGAGTAATTCTCTTTTTCAAAAGCAAAAGGCTAAAATGCTGGGCCATAACATGCACCTCTTGCCCCCAAAAACTTCAGTAATCGTCGCTTTACTGTCTCTCTACGCATTCTACACTAATAATGTGTTTCCGCTTGTGTATTACTTTAAGCTGAGCTTGTTTTATAAGTCTTTTGTCTTCTCATTACCTTCACCCATTACTTCAGATTCACAGTTTTACACAAAAAGGTTTGATATTTGAATTCCAGGTTTTTAACTTTAATTGTACTTGCAATGTTGATCTGTCTGGACTGATTCAATCTGCTTGATACGTATTATGTTAATACCAACCTGGAATTTAGTACGGTCTCTGTCATAACTGCTTCTAGAGATCGTATTATTTTTGTTCTACGTTCCAGTTCATCACTTATCAGTTGTAGGAGGTGGAATTTACAATTAAGTGCTGCATTCGGGTTGTTTAGATACGAATCATGTTTGTTATCCGCGTAACCCCTGCCTACTTATGAAACTTAATACCGCAAATTTTTATTTCTCATTAGCTCCTGTCGTGTTCAGCAGGAAATAGCTTCTGCCACTTTACTTACTGAAATTCTTCAGAGAAGGGATAAAAAAAAGACAACCTCTTAACAATTCATAGCTAGTCCGACTATGGAGAACAAGATAAACTTGAAGGCTTTGGTGGATAAGCGGAGCAACAAAGTTATCTTCATAGAGTCCGACCATGCTTTTGTCGATGTTCTCCTAAGTTTCTTGACAATCCCCTTGGGAACAATAATCAAGCTTGGTCGTGAGCATTCAGTACCAGTGGAAATCGACTGCATTAACAATTTGTATTCAAGTGTAGAGGAGATTGACGCGCGTGAGTTGCGGTCAGATGCATGTAGAGAAATGTTGTTACTTCCCCGCAATGCTGCTGAATCTCATTGCAAGAACCTTGTATTGCAAATTGATCACAATGCCAAGCCAACACAGTACTTTGTATGCTCTCGTTATTGCCTGGCCACAGCCACAAGTAAGTTCTTTAGTTACTACCCAGGTCTCTTGTGTGTAGGGTGCATGGATACCATGCATCGGGAGATTTCATTTTCGGTGGATGTTGCAAGCGCCTTTGTAAAAGAGCGAGTCAGGCTTCTAATTACCGATGATTTACAACTGATCTCCCCTTTTTGCACATCAATCGTTTCTTTATTTACCAAGCTTGGAGTCACCAATAGGAATACTACGGAGGAGTTGCATTTTAATATTGGAGTTGATGAGGTACTCAGTTGTTGATTCATGCGTACCTTAATTAGCTTTTCGTTAAAATTGCAATCCGCAATTTCTGACGTGAATTTTTTCCCAGGTTATGAATTTGCTTATAAGCTCCTTAGTATCAAAGACGCCATTGACCGAAACTCTACTGAAGCATAAACCCGTGGCCGAACTGAACCATGACAACAATTATCAAGCTGTACACATTGATCCGCAAACAGGAGGAGAGACGGTGTTGATGGAAGAAGACAACATTTCTATTAAGCTTATAATTAGCAAATCTAAGAACATTGTTTGCTACGCAGAAGCCGGGGAGGATTTTGTTAATTTACTCTTCAGTTTTCTAACTCTGCCACTTGGGTTTGTAACAAAGCAGATACAGGATGGGTCTCTGAAGGGATGCATTGATAAGTTGTACTGGAGTGTCCAAGATCTCGATGCGCAATACTTGAAGTCAAATCATCACAAGGAAATGCTACTCAATCCGAAGCTTGTTCCTGGTTTTTGCTACAACAGTCTTTTAGGAATTGAGGAAGCCTCATATTATTATCTCGGCAGTGGGCTAACTACTGTTAGTTCCCTTATCCATTCTAATACGTCATCGGAGTCATTTAAAATCGAACCCACAGATCACAACTCCAGTGCTCGAGGATTTTTAAAAGGACCAGCGATTTTCACAGTAACTGACAATCTGGTCATAAGACCGATATCTACAATCTTTGAGCTGTCTGTTCTTGACCAATTGAATGTACCTTTCACTGACATTGAAGAAAGAGTTATGCTTATGGGCAAGAAGTTGGTGAGTTATCAGTTATATTTTTCAATTACCTCTACGAACAGAATTCTGGGTTTTAATTAGCATGATCTTTTAAGCACGTTAGGCCATTTGGCAAAGACAGTTGATTTATTCTAATCAAAGTTTTAACGAATTTCAGAAACTAATTAAAAATTTAGCTAAAGACTCCTTAAACATTCCTTTTTTTTTTTGCAGGCTCTGAGTCTTTTGGTAGCTTCTTTTGCTTCTGACTCTGCATTAACGAATGCCTTCATTAGCGAGCCATATCAAGAATAACCAGAGCTTGGTTACATTTGATGAAGAGGATACGATGATTTTGTTTCAAAATAGGACTGTAATGTTTTCATGATTATGCAGACTTGAGATTGGTGTTTGCGTGTGTGTGTGTGCAAGTTCGAACATCCAAGTTTCATTTTAATACCGTCAGTTGGTATTTAATCCATGTGTTATAACATGAGGTGAACAGTAATTTTATACTTTTGAAAATAGTATTTAATCCAGGTAGCGGTTTCAGTGTTAAGGTCATACCCAAAAAAATTTCCGAGCTTGCAGACTAGTTCTTGTCCTTTTAGATTGTTGGTAATTTCAAGTTAATGATCTCAAGTGTTTGCCTTTGTCATTTCATGCCTTTCCCTTTAGTTTCTTGATAATTCCAAAGGGTGCAATTTGTATGAAAGCGTTGAGAATGCTGATGCTCGTCACTTTCAAACCGAAGCATGTAGAGAGATGTTGCTACATCCCCGCAATGGGGCTGAGTCTCATTGCAAGAATCTCAAGGTGATTTAAGTGCTCAAGGATCTTTAAATGGACCGATGATGTTCAACATAACTGATGGTCTTATCGTAAGGCCTATATCTCCTCTCTTTGGAATTTCTGTTTTGAACGAAATGAAGGTGCAAAATTTGAAGGTTGGCAGGGAGGAGGTGACCTTGAGTCCTCAACAATTGGTTACACTTCCATTTAACTGCTCTTGCATCTTCCATGCTTGTTTTTATGAAAGCTTCAGTTTCTATGTCTCGTCGTTTTAACTGTTGTTGTCTCCTGTATTGTTACTTGCTGCAGGCCTTACGTCTTTTGGTGACATCTTTTCGATCTGATTCTGCTCTCACCCGTGTATTCCTTAGCCATCAACGAAAGAATGTCATTAAGAACCGGCAATCTGCAACTTGAACGGATGAGCCAATTCCAATTTCAAACACTAACTGGATAACACATGGTAGTAAACAGATAAGGCCACAAATACATTTCAAATAATTACGAGCCTACGCACCATGGTGCGGGTTGTATCAGTCGAATTGCTCGGTTTACTAATATGATGATGCGATGCTTCTGTCGCTAGACTTGCTACAAACTGAACCAAAGCCAATATGTTAATTGGTGCGTAGTATTAAGAATACTTGCTCATATGAAGTTGTCAAACACAAGCATTCCAACCTATTGCAGGCTTTCTATAGTGGCTTCTTTCGTTTGCGACTCTGCTATAATTAAGCATCCATCCCTTACCTTCGTTAGGGATCGAGGATGCATTTGTTGTTAAATTTAAACTTTGGACTTTGTTCCTTGGTTCTGGTTCTTTTCTTTTTATTTCCCTTGTTTCTGTTGTTTGGGTTATTATCTGTTGGGGTAATTGCAAGAACAACTTTAATAGCACGGATACATCGATACCATGACTTTGTGTGTTAATGATATAATGTTATGTTTAAGTTTCTCAAGTATGTTGGATGAATATATATTAACATATCAAGCAGTACTCGGAATGGATCAGTCCAAACAGATCAACAGTACAAGGACAAATATACATTTCAGAAACAAAATAAAATTATGGAATTAAAGTTCAAACCATTTTGGGTAAAACTGCTGAACCAGAAATCAGGTTCAACTTGAAGTAATACACAAGCAGAAGAAGATTATGAGTCTAGAGGTGCATGTTATGAAATGATTTTTCAGTGGGCTTAGAATATAGAGTGGAAGACCGCATTTCGTTGTACAATTAGAGAGGGACTTCAAAAAAAAAATTCCTTCAATATATAAATGGAATTTTAACAAAACACTTTTAGTATTGTTCACTTTTAACGAGGAATACATTTTTACTCTAAAAAGTCATTCCTCATACTATTTACTTACAAAACCTTTTTGTCATTTTAATTAAAACTCAAAATTTTCAAGTAATTTTCATTAGTTTTCCTAAAGCATGTAGTATTTCGCTTTGTGTTTTAGGCATGCTAAAAAATCTGTTCATAACAATGGGTCACCATTTTAGCTTTAGCTTTTCATTAAAGGACAAGGATCCTCTCCAGATATTTTTTTGTGGGGATCCAAAGATCAATCAATCGTGTCCGTTCATCATACATCTTGAGTTCAGTTTTCGTTAGATACTATTTATATTTAATTTTAAATTTTAAATTTTAAATGATTTTTAACTGCACGATGTACGATGAATAGACACGATTGATTGATCCCGGATCCCTACAAAGAGGATCCAAAGACAATCCTATTCCTTCATTAAGGGCATTACTTTCTTCAAAAGTGGTGGGGCCACACTCACTTTACTTTGGAGGCAGATGCCCTCTAGTTATGGTGCAATTCACATTCATTCCTATTTGTGCGATCACGATTAAACCTCATCAATATTTTATATTGATTTTTTTATAAACATAATAAGATAAAAGATAATAAGAATATAAAATATTAATATGCTTTAACCGTGATTGTACAAATAAGAAGAGATGGAAAGGGCACCGTAACATAACAGAGGGCAGAGAATCTGCCTCCCTTTACTTTCTCTCCACCAAACCCGATGATCTTCCTTGTGTGTTTTTATTGATTTCATCCATTTACTTTGGCTCGCTAGTTCTACCCAGACAGGTTTGATCTTCGAAATTCATTTTTTTGTTCTGGTACGGTCAAGTGTACTTGAGATGATGAGGAGATTCTGATTATGTTTCTTGGTAAATATTCAGATTTTGCATGTTGGAAGGTTGAAGGAGTTTTTGCATCTAATTAAGGTAATTAAAAACCTCTTATTTGTTGTCTTATTTACTTTTTAACTTGTTGGATCATATGTTTCTTGGTAATCAAGCACAAAATGGTTCACTTTATTAGGAAAGTTGACACTTAATTTCATATTACATAGAATGAAAAAAAAGAAAATAACAACGTGATATTGCGGGCCGTTTGGTTTGGTGTTAGATTTTGATTTTCGTTTTTGTGCATGAGACAGAGGAAAGTATATGACTGAGAGATGGGAAGAAAAAATGAAAAAGAAATCTTGAAGGTGAAAATGAAATGATTTTTGCTCCAACTTTCCAGGTGAAATGGTTATCAAAAAAGCACAACTCCAAAAAAGATTACTGCAAATAATATAGAAAAATTTATGATTGTTTTTTTTTTTTTAAGTTTCTTTTTGATGCAAGATTTTCTCTCTTTTTTATTTGTATTTTGAAGCTTCTCTCATGTTTAAGGAGGGAAACAACTTAACATCAGCACAGACTACACAGGCTTTATTTCGGTTATCATTATCCTACAACAAATATTTGTGACAATTGCTTACTAAATTTGTTCAACAACAGGATAGCAAGCCAACCTTAATACTTTCTTTCAATCATGGCTGAAAAAAAGCGTGCGAAGAATCGCAAAAATGTAAGCTTGAAGGCCTTGATGGACACGGGAAGCAACAAAGTTATCTTCGTTGAGTCCAACAGTGATTTTATTGATGTTCTCTTCAGTTTCTTGACAATGCCAATGGGAAGGATTGCCAGGCTTTCCTGTACATCTTCAGTACCGGTGGAAATAGGTTGTATGAGAAATTTGTATCAGAGTATTGAGAAATTTGATGTGCATGACTTCCGGTCAAATGCGTGTAGAGATATGTTGTTACTTCCCTGCAATGCTGCTGATTGTCAATGCAAGAACCTCAAGTTGAAAATTGACAATGGTAGGCCGACACGGTACTTTTTGTGCTATGACAAATGCTTCTTAAGCTATTATGGAGATATCCCCTGTCCTTTCTGTACTTGTCCCTTGACTAGGGAGATGCATCTTCCGGTGGATAATACTCAAGCTGGAGGAGTCTTTGTGAAAGGGCCATCCAGGCTGATAATTACCGATGATTTACAGGTCATATCCCCAGTAAGTGCAGCAAGCATTTGTTTGTTTTCGAAGCTACGGGTCACGGATTCTAAAACTACAGAGGAGTCGACTTTCAATATGGGAGTTCAGGAGGTAATTCTTTCTTGTACCATCAATTAATATTTTTTTTTCATCAACAACAATAGAAGTGGTTTCTAACTTGATTTATATTTTCCAGGTTTTGGATTTGCTTATGCATTCGTTTGTATCAAAGACACCTTTGACTGAAACTCTTCTGAAGAACAAACCAATACCGAATTTGGGAGACGTACATTCCAGTCAAGGAACATCGATTGATTCTCAAATGCATGGCGACACAATCATTGAGGAAGAGAAAAACATTTCTCTTAAGATTGTAGTTAGCAAGTCTAAAAAAATTGTTTGTTATGCAGAAGCACAAGAGGATTTTGTTAATCTACTCTGCAGTTTCTTGACTCTCCCACTTGGGCTTATATTAAAAAAGATGCGAAATGTTTCATGGAAAGGCTGTCTTGATCAGTTGTACAAGAGTGTCGAAGATCTTGATGAGCAATACTTGATGTCAAATTACCACAAGGAATTGTTGGTCAATCCAAAGCTTGCACCTGGTTATCGATATGAGAAAACTCTGCTAGGAATCGAGGAGACGTCCTTTTATTATGTTGACAAGAAGTTAACTACTGATACATCCTGTATTCCTGATAATAGTTTAGTGGAGTCAGTTAAACTTGATGTTGTTGATCCCAAATCTCATGAAGATAAAGATAGAAGTGCTCAAGGATTTCTGAGAGGACCTGCTATCTTCACAGTGACTGACAATCTAGTTGTAAGACCGATATCTCCAATGCTTGAAATCTCTGTTCTTCAAGAATTAAAGGTACCTTTCACTGACATCGAGGATCATACCGTGCATGTGGGCAAGAGAGAGGTGAGTTCTCATTATAATGTTTGATTAACCTTACTGAAAGAATCCGTTGGTTTCAGATTAGCAAGTTCTTTTAACAATTTAGGCCATTGGTTCATCATAAAATCGAGAGCTTACATTCAATTTAGAAAATGTCAACAGAAAATCGTAGATTTGACTCAAGATAGGTAAACTAGCTAGTACAGGCAGTTGATGTTCAGCCACTTATGTGATGCTTTACTAGTTTATGTGGAATCTCTGTTACCAGATTTCATGTCGCTCGGGATTTCCTTATGAATCATCGGCAACACAAATCACCCTGACCGATTCGTCCTCTTATTCAACATCTCTAATACCGTAATCCCAAACAAGTAATCAAATACTTAATTGAGTCAATCCATACGTTGACCTTGAAAGTTGAAGCCTTGGAAGTTGAAGACATCCCATTTTGTGGACATTTAAGATTAGTCATCTGTATAAATTCTTTTAACGTTAGAGAGTTTGTTACTCTTTTTGCAGGCGTTGCTTCTTTTGGCGGCCTCATTTATCGGTGATTCTGCTCTTACCAATACCTTCATTTCAGAGCTTAGGGAGCCAAAGCAAGAACAATAAAGAGGGATTGGTTACACAAAGAAGAGCTTGCTTTTGTTGTTACTGCATAGGAATCCACAGTATTCCTGTTTGTCTGAGACTAATTTTTATTTACATGGTAACATTTGGGTTTGAGATAAAGTGAAAAATATGAGATCTAGTTGCGAAGGGAGTTTGGACCTGGTTGGCTTTAGGCCAGTTTCGGTTAATTTCTGTCGAATATGTATGCTGTGGTTTGGTAAAAGCCTGCCGAAGAATTGGATGAAGATCGGTTGTAGCTAGCAGAACTTTGTAATATTGTTTAGCTCTGTACTTGTGGATCCTATTTTTATTAGATAAATAATTTAAATGTGATCTACAAAATATGGTCTCCTTGCATCCACCACACCCACACACACCCCACCTATTGTCCTTATTTCCCTTCCCTCATCCCTCATATCTCAACCTCTAAATTTAAAGGAAAACTAATGAAAAAGGTTTGAAAACTTTGAGTTTTAATGATAAGGACAAAATAAAGGGTAAAGTGAATAGTACCAAGATTGACTTTTTAGTGTTAAAATGTGGTTTTTCGTTGAAGTGAACTGGGAGCTTTTCGTTAAAGTTCCCTAAATTTAATAGTACGGATACACCGTTATTATGACGTTATGTGTCAATGATATAATGATATAACGTTACGGGTAAGTTTTTCAGACTAAATTAGATGAATATATATTAACATATCAAGCAGAGTACTCAGACTGAATCACTACAAACAGATCAGCTGTACAAGGGCAAATAAGAAAAAAAAACATGAAATTAAAAGATCAAACCTTTTTTTGCCTGTTACGGGTCACCATTTTGGCCACCATTTTAGCTTTAGCTTTTCAAAAAGGGCACCAGTGATTCAATGTCAATATATATTTTTATTAACACGAGTGCTTTGTCACCTAAAACATCCCGCCTAAAAGTATCAATCTCATTCCTTAACTAAGAAGACATTAGTGAGCTGGATTCCAACGTTTTGACATTCAGATATAAAATTGTATTACTTCTGCTTTGGGAGAGATTTTTTAGTGTATTGAAAACACGATTTAATACACAAAATATCATAACAAGTGGTTAGAGCCCTAAACAAATTTTTTTTAACTATAACATCTACGTAGGTCTCGGGTTTGAGACTTGGGAGCAGCCTCTTTATAAATAGAGGTAAGGCTAGCCGACATTCACCTCTCCCAGACCCTGCGTAAAGCGGGAGCCTTGTGCACTGGGTACGACCTTTTTATAACATTTAGTGTACTAAGCTGTATTTCCGGCGCACTACAAAATTTCTCTGCTTTCAAGTAACATCTATTCTTGTGGAAAGCAATAACGGTGAGGCCAACCTAACTGTACTTTCCTTTTTTTTAATTACACAATAATGTCAAACTCAATGGTGGAAAGAAAATGTTGTGAAACAAAGCGATCACTTTACATTTTAGCACTTAACTTTCTCTCCAAACCATTCGCAAGATTTTTCAGATAAAAATAGGGTTTGCCGATTTTAGATAATCTGTTTCCTATAGCTTAAGCTATTCGCAAGATTTTATCTCTTTCCCTGAAGTTGGTTTGTATTTTGAAGCTTCTTTCATGTTAAAGGAGGGAAACGACTTAACATCTGCACGGACTAGACAGGCTTTATTTCGGTGGTCATTATCCTAAAACAAATATTTGTGACAATTGCTTACTGAATTTGTTCAACAACGGGATAGCAATCCGACTTTATACTTTCTTTCAATCATGGCGGAAAAAAAGCTTGTGTTGAATGTAGAGATATGTTGTTGCTTCCCTGCAATTCTGCTGATCTTCAATGCCAGAACCTCAAGTTGAAAATTGACAATAATAGGCCAACACAGTACTTTTGGTGCTATGAAGGATGCTTTTTAAGCTATTATCAAAGTGTCATCTGTTCCCAGACCCTGCGTAAAGCGGGAGCCTTGTGCACTGGGTACGACCTTTTTTTTTTTTTTTATCAAAGTGTCATCTGTCCTTCCTGTGCTTCTACTTTTGGTTGGAAGATTCCAGTGGATAATACTCAAGTTGGAGGCGTCTTTGTGAAAGAGAGACCCAGGCTGATAATTACCGATGATTTACAGGTCATTTCCCCAGTAAGTGCAACAAGCATCTGTTTGTTTTCGAAGCTAGGGGTCACAGATTCTAAAACTACGGAGGAGTTGACTTTCAATATGGGAATTCAGGAGGTATTCCTCTTGTGGGGTGTGCCTTCAATTTTTTTTTTTTTTTTTCCATCAACAACAGAAGTGGTTTCTAACTAGCTTGATGTCTCTTTTTCCAGGCTTTGAATTTGCTTATGCATTCGTTTGTATCAAAGACACCATTGACTGAAATTCTTCTGAAAAACGAACCAAAACCAAGTTTGGGAGATGTACATTCCAGTCAAGGAATATCGATTGATTCTCAAATGCATGGTGACACAATCAATGAGGAAGAGAAAAACATTTCTCTTAAGCTTGTAGTTAGCAAGTCTAAGAAGATTGTTTGTTATGCAGAGGCACAAGAGGATTTTGTCAATCTACTCTGCAGTTTCTCGACTCTCCCACTTGGGTATATATTAGAAAAGATGCGGAATGTTTCATGGAAAGGCTGTCTCGATCAGTTGTACAAGAGTGTCGAAGATCTTGATGAGCAATACTTGAAGTCAAATTTCCACAAGGAATTGTTGGTCAATCCAAAGCTTGCACCTGGTTTTCGATACGAGAACCCTCTGTTAGGAATCGAGGAAACCTCATTTTATTATCTCAACGAGAAGTTAACTACTGATAAGTCCTGTATTCCTGATAATACTTCAGCGGAGTCAGTTAAACTTAATGTTTTTTATCCCAAATCTCATGAAGATAGCAATAAAAGTGCTCAAGGTTTTCTGAAAGGACCTGATACCTTCACAGTGACTGACAATCTAGTTGTAAGACCGTTATCTCTAATCCTTGAAATGTCTGTTCTTCAAGAATTGAAGGTACCTTTCACCGACATCGAGGACCATATCGTGCATATGGGCAAGAGGGAGGTGAATTGTCATTTATAAAGTTTGATGTTCATCCACTAATGTTATGCTTCATTAGTTTATGTGGAATTTTTGTTACCATATTTCATGTCCCTCTGGGATTTCCTTATGAATCATCGGCAACACATATCACCTTGACTGATAAGTGATCTTATCCAACATCTCTAATCTGTCAGTGGAGTTCCCTTGTTACGGTTGTTGATTTGCATCAGTCCACAATGTTATGTTATTGATTGCTCTAAACAACAAGGGTAGTCAATTGTTGGAAAATGATACCATAATCCCAAACATGTAATCGAACACTTAATTGAGCCAATCCGTACGTCCACCTTCAAAGTTGAAGGAATCCCATTTTGTGGACATGTAACATTAGTTATCTGTTTAAATTTCTTTTAACTTCAGAGTTTGTTACTTTTTGCAGGCGTTGCTTCTTTTGGTGGCCTCGTTTATTGGTGATTCTGCTCTTACCAATACCTTCATTGGAAAGCTTAGGGAGCCAAAGCAAGAACAATAAGGAAGGATTGGTCACACAAAGAAGAGCTTGCTTTTGTTGTTACTGCATAAGAACTCCACAATATTCCTATCTGTGAGATTAAATTTTATTTACATGGTAACATTTGGGTTTGAGATAAAATGAAAAATTTGAGATCTGGTTGCGAAGGGTGTTTGGACCTGGTTGGCTTTAGCCAGTTTCGGTTTGTTTCTGTCGAATTTGTATGGTTTGGTTTGGTAAAAGGCTGCCGAACTATTATGATAAAGATCGGTTGTATCTAGGCAAACCTTGTGATATTGTTCAACTCTGTACTGGCCTCGTTTGGCAGCTCGTACTGTACTGACTATTTTTGTCGAATAGGATAAATAGCCACCGGATAGTATTGACTAAATTAGTCGAGCGTTTGGTGCAGTATCGGATTAATGACCGTATTATTTATACTGTGTTTGGTATTATACCGGATAAGATGAATAAAACTTAAAATTGGTATTATAGCGGATAAGAGGAATAAAACTTAAAAAAAAAGTGAAATCATCTTTTTTTTTTTCGCAGATCTTTCCGCACCCATCAAACTCCCTCCCTCTCTCTTCCTTCTTCTTCCCCGACTGCAAAAGCATCCCAAATAATTCTTCCCCGCTTCTCTCCGCGGCACCCCCAAACTCCCTCCCTCTCTCTCCCTTATTCTTCTTCCCCGGCGACGACAACTCTATTTTGTCGCTTCGACTCCGTATTCCTCTGCGTCAACTGCGACTCTCATCACCCTGCGTCTAGCCCCTGCGAGGTCTGCGAGCAAGCTCCAGGATCGAGAGACCGAGGTGAGCAGGGAGGATGGTGAGGCTGCTCTCGAACCTAAAGGCTATGGAGAATCCGGATCTGAACTCAGGTCGTAGAAATGGATCCATATCTGGATCTAGACTACCAGCATGTGGATCCGATGCTTGAAGAAGTTCAGGAGCAGGACATCTACAGCACGGACGCAGTCGGTTTGGTGTGGTGGTCGTGAAGATGGAAGGGATATCACCCCGACTAATTATCCCGAGCTTTTGTGGTGTTTTAATAGTACGGTGTCAACCGTATAAAATTTGATAGACCGGATAATTAAGCGGGTGCTTATTTAGTACGATAGTGCACCAAACAACTGCTCCCGTATTATTTATCCTATCCGATGCTTTATACGGCGTGCCAAACGAGGCCTTGTATTGTAGATCCTACTTTTATTAGAGAGATAATTAGTGTATCGAAACGTTGACACTTGTGTATCAAGACGTGTTCTCAGTGTGCTAAAGAAGCTTTGAAAAGTCTTCAAGTCATCGTTGAGGTTTGCAATTTCGACCTAAACGACTTCCTTTTCAAAATTCCACATTTACAATGGTAAATGTATTTATTTGGTTCACCTGATGCTTCGTCTTCCAACATGATTCAAATGATCTACAATAAATCAAGAGAACTTATTGAATTCACCTTTATGCTTTTCACCTGCCAAAGAAACCTATTGCTTTATAATAGACTCCATTTTCGTTTAGCCAACGTTCGTTGTAGGTCTTATCCTTAGAATCAATGGCTTCTAATCCTACTATTTGCGTGAAGGCCTTGGTGGACAAGGGAAGCAACAAGATTATTTTCGTGGAGTCTGGTAATGATTTGGTTGATACTATCTTCAGTTACTTGACAATCCCCATGGGAACAGTTATCGAGCTTGCTCGTAAACATTCAGATCCTGTGGAAGGATTTCTTAGAGGACCTGCTATCTTCAGAGTGACTGGCATTCTAGTTGTACGAGTGATATCTCCAATCCTTAAAATCTCTGTTCTTCAAGAATTACCTTTCACTGACATCGAGGATCATACCGTGCATGTGGGCAAGAGGGAGGTGAGTGAGTTGTCATTTATAATGTTTGATTAACCTTACTGAAAGAATCCGTTGGTTTCAGATTTGCAAGTTCTTTTAACAATTTAGGCCATTGGTTTATCATAAAATCGAGAGCTTACATTCAATTTAGAAAATGTCAACAGAATATCAGGTTGGTGAAATGATCCCTATTGAAAAATCGTAGATTTGACTCCAGACGGGCAAACTAGCTAGCGCAGGCAGTTGATGTTCAGCCACTTATGTGTTGCTTTATTAGTTTATGTGGAATCTCTGTTACCAGATTTCATGTCCCTCGGGATTTCCTTATGAATCATCGGCAACACAAATCACCTCGACTGATTCGTCCTCTTATCCAACATCTCTAATACCGCAATCCCAAACAAGTAATCAAATACTTAATTGAGTCAATCCATACGTTGACCTACAAAGTTGAAGCCTTGAATTTGAAGACATCCCATTTTGTGGACATGTAAGATTAGTCATCTGTTTAAATTCTTTTAACGTTAGAGTTTGTTACTCTTTTTGCAGGCGTTGCTTCTTTTGGCGGCCTCATTTATCGGTGATTCTGCTCTTACCAATACCTTCATTTCAGAGCTTAGGGAGCCAAAGCAAGAACAATGAGGAGGGATTGGTTACACAAAGAAGGGCTTGCTTTTGTTGTTACTGCACAGGAATCCACAGTATTTCCTGTTTGTCTGAGACTAATTTTTATTTACATGGTAACATTTGGGTTTGAGATAAAGTGAAAAATGTGAGATCTAGTTGCGAAGGGAGTTTGGACCTGGTTGGCTTTAGGCCAGTTTCGGTTAGTTTCTGTCGAATATGTAGGGTTTGGTTTGTATTGTGATGAAGATCGGTTGTATCTAGGCGAACTTTGTGATATTGTTCAGGTCTGTACTTGTGGATCCTATTTTTATTAAAGAAATAATTTAAATGTGATCTACAAAATATGATCTCATTTCATCATCCCTGACAATTCGTATACCTCGCATCGCATTGAACAAAATAGAGATTAAGGACTTCATTTTTTCCATCTTCCTCCACCACTTTCTTTTACACCCACCCCATCTCCTTCTCTGACTCCTACGGTAGGAGTCCTACCACCGCCACCACACACACAAACACCCCACCTATTGTGCTTATTTCCCTTCCCTCAACTCTCAGATCTTAACCCTTAAATTTAATAGCATGGATACTGTTATTATGATATTCTGTGTCGATGATATAATGATATAACGTTACGTGTAAGTTTTTCAGACTAAATTAGATGAATATATATTAGCATATCAAGCGGAATACTCGGACTGAATCAGTACAAACAGATCAACAGTACAAGGGCAAATAAGAAAGTGAAAAAAACAAGAAATTAAAGATCAAACCTTTTGTGCCTAGTTCGGGTCACCATTTTGGCCACCGTTTTAGCTTTAGCTTTTCAAAAAGAGTGCCAGTCATTCAATGTCAATAAATATTTTTAGACTAAAACTATTTCAACTATAGATCGAATCACAATCTCATACCTTATATTTTAAACATTTCAATACCTCAACTTATGAATTCATTGCAATATCAGAGTTTCGTTAACTTTTTTGTCAATTTGCCTATTAAATGATGACGTGACAAGAGCAGAACCCACTCCTTTGCCAATTGGAATAAAAAATTAATTAATAAAAAATTATTTAACAATTAAACTTAATTAAAAAATCTAATATAATATTAAAAAAATCTAATGAAAAAAACTTAAAAACTTTGAATTTTAACGATATAGACAAAATAAAGGATAAAATAAATAGTACAGGATTGGCTTTTTAGTGTAAAAATGTGATTTTTCGTTAAAATAAACACTCCAGTGTTTTTCGTTAAAATTCTTAAAATAAAAAAAACTCTTAATTCGGACATTGCAACGAATTCAAAAGTTGAGGTATAACATTGCAACGAATTCAAAAGTTGAGGTATAACAGTTAAATTGACAGAAAACTTAACGGAGATCTAACATTGCAACGAATTCAAAAGTTGAGGTATAACATTGTGATGTTTAAAACATGAGGTATGTGATTGTGGTTCGACTTATAATTGAGGTAGTTTTGTGTAATATATCCTTTTTATTAACATGAGTGCTTTGTCACCTAAAACATCACGCCCAAAGGTATCAATCTCATTCCTTAACTAGGAAGAAATTAGTGAACTGGATTCCAAATCTTTTAAATTTAGATATAAAATTGTTACTTCCACTTTATGAGAGATTTTTTTAGTGTATTGAAAACACGATTTAGTACACAAAATATCATAACAAGTGATTGGAGTTTTAAATAAAATTTTTTAACTATGACACTTGGTATACTAAACCATATTTCCGGCATAATAAAAAAAATTCTTAGCTTTCAAGTAACATCTATTCTTGTGGAAAGCAAAAATGGTGACGCCTCCCTAACTTTACTTTTTTTAATTAAACAATAATGTCAAACTGAACAGTGGAAAGAAAATGTCGTGAAACAAAGCGATCACTTTACTTTGGACCCGACTTCTCTACCCTCTCACTTCCTATACATTCTCATCCCCTCCTATTTTGTGCGATCACAGTTAAGCCACGTCAACATTTTATATTAATTTTCTTTATAGAGATAATAAGACAAAAGGTAATAGTGATATAAAATGTTGACGTGGCTTAACCGTGACCTCACAAATGAAAATGAATGAGAGTGTATGAGAACTAGAATGACAGAGAAACCAGGTCCGTTTACTTTTTAACACTTAACTCTCTCCAATCTATTCGCAAGATTTTTCAAATAAAAATAGGGTTTGCCGGTTTGAGATAATATATTTGTGACAATTGCTCACTGACCTGGTTCTTATATGGATGATATTATTTTTACATTGTGTTTTTTGAAAAACTTGTTCGTTTGTGATAATTGATGTTCTCTTCAGTTTCTTGACAATTCCAGTGGGAACAATTATCAGGCTTTCCAATCGTTATTCTTTTCCACTGGGAATTGGTTGCTTGAAAAACTTATATGAAGGTTGAAACTTCCACTTTTAGGTAGCTTCTTGTTGTGCTAGGATAGCACCAAACCAAATGGAACCAACTCAAGCTAATCCACAGGAAATTTATCAAATGAAATGCAAGAATAAAAATATAAAAGAACACCAAGATTTAACGAGGTTCCTCAACAATCAGTGTAACTGGAGTACGTCCTCGGAGCAGTAGGAGCTCACCCAATAATCCACTATCAACCAAATGGGAGTTTACAAAGTGTTGGCAATCTCACAACCCAAATAACCCAATATAACCAATAGTTTTCACACACCAAAGAAACAAATAAAGAGAAATATAATGATTAATTTCTTCTCTATACAAAGCTCAAAGCTATTATAACAACAACTACCTTGGTGGGTGATTACTAACCAAAGAGAAGAGCCCTTCTTCTTCTTTTCTACTCTCTGTTTTCTGCTCTCTGCAGCTCTCTTTGCTCTCTCAAAGATGGGCTACTAAAACAGAAAAAATGATGCACACTTCCTCTCTATTTCTCACTTCCGTATGCTCACTTCATCAATACAAAAGCACCAAATAAAAAATTCAAAAACATCATCATGACCTTCAATTTTTCTTTTCAACAAACATAATCATATGTTCCCTCATCATTTTGTCTTTCACCTTTTTTTTTTTTTCCTTTTGGTTTGTTTATTAGCCGAAAGTTGTTTTGTTTTGTTGTCCATTTGGCCACTTGGCCACTTATTCAACAGTTTCTTTCATGGCGACTTTGCTATAATTAAGCATCCATCCCTTACCATCGTCGGGGATCGAGGATGCATTTGTTATTAAATTTAAACTTTGGACTTTGTTCTTTGGTTTTGGGTTTTTCTTTTAATTTCCCTTGTTTCTATTTTTTGGGTTATTTTCTGCTAGAGTAATGGCAAGAACAACTTTAATAGCACGAGTACATCATCATCATAGCGTTTTGTGTAAACGCTATAATAATATGTGTAATTTTCTTGGACTAAATTAAATCATAATCAAGCAGAGTACTCAGACTGAATCAGTCCAAACAGATCAACGGTACAAGAATATACATTTCAGAAAGGGAAAAAACATAAAATTAAAGATCAAACATTTTTGTGCATGTTATGGGCCACCATTTTAAAGAAAAAAAAACCATGAGTCTAGAGGTGCATGTTATGGGCCACCACTTTAGCTATAGCTTTTCAAAATGGGCACTAGTCATTCAATGCCAATATATATTTTCTTAATTTTTAGTACTTGAATTAAATGAATTGAAAAAATCAACGAATAAAAATTAATAATAGTGTATAAGACATAAAAAGAAGTGTTTAAATAGCCTTACTTTTTTTTAATACGATTGCTATGCCACATAATAAACAATCAAACTCGAGGTTAACAAAAATCTAACTTAAAACATCCCCCCTAAAAGTATCAATCTCAATCCTTAACTAGGAAGAAATTTGTGAGTGGGATTCCAACGCTTTGAAATTTTAAATATAAAATTTTCTTACTTTCACTCTTAGGTAACATCTCCTTGTCAAAAGCTAAGGAGAATATATCAAAAGTGGGAGTCTACGAACAGTCTGCTATCTTATATTTTATAATATTAACACATAAATTGACGTCTTGAGATGACAAATAATCTACAAAGAGTCTCACTTTAAAAGTCTCATTGACATTTTTTTTAATTAAACAATATGTCAATGTGTTGTGTAGATACTAATTTAGTATGACGTTTTTCATTCGATTATTAATGGAAGTCAAATATATTTTCTTAATGGGAACGGATAGGGTGATATTACTCGTTAATTTTAACCGGTTGAGTTTGGTTCATATCATATTATCAGTTCATTTTAACGGATTTGACACAACACGTTCCATGAAGATATCGTATATGTCACGAAAACGACACGAACACAACAAATATGACACGATTACCAAGTCTAATTTTAGCTTTAGCTTTCCAAAAAGGGCACTTGTCATGCAATGTCAATATATTTTTTCTGTGTGGTGCAATCCACATACCCATTTTTACTTCTCACACACTCCTCTTAATTTTCAATTGTTGGATCAAATAAATTAAATAATATTAATAGATAAAAACTAACAAAAATGTACAAAGTAAAAATGAATATGTGAAGATAACTACTCTTTTTAATACAAGTGATATGGCACATATTAAAAATCAAACTCGTCGTCAACAAAAATCTAATGTAAAACATTAAAACTATCAATCTCAATCCTTAACTAGGAAGACTAGTGAATTGGATTCCAAACGCTTTGAAATTTTAAATATAAAATTTTATTACTTTTAGGTAACATCTCCTTATGAAAAGTTAATAAGATTTTTTCAAAATGAGATTATTTATAAATTATATGTCATCTCATATTTTATTTACAATTTTTTATAAACTTGGCATGATAATTGACATTAAGCTGTAAACTAATAAAGAGTTTATAAAGAATCCCAATTTTTTTTATAGGATGGAGAATTCCAATTTAAAAGAGTCTATTTAGCATTGTTTTTTTAATTAACCAATGATGTCAAATCTACTGCACCATTCCTGCTATGAAAAGATAATGTTGTGTCTAGCCAAAAAAAAAAAAAAAAAACTAATTAAAAAAGCTTGAAAATTTTGAGTTTTAACAATAAAGACAAAATAAATGGTAGAGTGAATAGTACTATGATTGACTTTTAGTGTAAAAATGTGATTTTTCGTTAAAGAGTACTGAGAGCTTTTTGTTAAAATTTCCAAAATAAAAAAGATAATGTTGTGAAACAAAGCAATCACTTTACTTCTTCCTCTCACTTTACTTTTTATCACTATATTTTCTCTCCAAAGTCGATGATCTTCCTTGTGTGCTTTCGTATATTTCATCCATTACTTCGGCTCGCCAATTCAACCCAGGAAGGTTTGTTCTTCAAGTTTCATGTTTTTTTTTTCTGGTACGGTTAAGTTTACGTGAGATGTTGAGTTAGGATTCTCATTAATGTTTGTGGGTAACATATTCAGATTTTGCATGTTGGAAGGTTGAAAGAGTTTCTGAACTAAGGTAATTAAGAACCTCTTATTTGTTGTCTTATTTATTTTTAAACATGTTGGATCCTATATTAGTAGTACTTATATAATTTCTTGTGATCAATCCAAGCTTTTCTACGCAAAATGGTTCCCTTTATCAGAAAGGTTGACACTTCAAATTTCATATTACATAAAATGAAAAAAGAAAATAACAACGTCATATTGCGGGCCTTTTGGTTTGGTTTTTAGGTCCTGATTTTCATTTTTGTGCTTGAGACACGAAGAAAGTATACAGGGAAAATGACGAGAAAGGGGAAGAAATAAGGAAGAAAAAAATGAAAACAAAATCTTCAAAGTGAAAATGAAATGATTTTTGTTTCAACTCTCCCGAAATATATCCCCTCTATCACTAACTGAAACCAAAAACCAAACAGTCACAATTCTAAAAAAGATTATTGGAAATTTTCTGAGAAAGATTTATGATTTTTTTTAACGTTTTTTTTTTTTTTCCAGAGAATTCAATAAGATGGTTATTTTTTTCAATCTTTTAGTATCATATTTGTTATCTGCTAGAAGATTTTCAAATAAAAATAGGGTCTGCCGGTTTTAGATAATCTGTTTCCTATAGCTTAAGCTATTTTTTCCTCAAGATTTTATCTCTTTCCCAGTAGTTGATTTGTATTTTGAAGCTTCTTTCATGTTTGAGGAGGGAAACAACTTAACATCGGCACGGACTACACAGGCTTTATTTCGGTTGTCATTATCCTACAACAAATATTTGTGACAATTGCTTACTGAATTTGTTCAACAACAGGATAGCAAGCCGACTTTATACTTTCTTTCAATCATGGCTGAAAAAAAGGCTGTGTTGAATGAGGATCTTGAAAATGTTATTACCTTGAAGGCCTTGGTGGACACGGGAAGCAACAAAGTTATCTTCGTAGAGTCCGACGGTGATTTTATTGATGTTCTCTTCAGTTTCTTGACAATGCCCATGGGAAGAATTGTCACGCTTGCTGAGTGTTCAGTACCGGTGGAAATAGGTTGTATGAGAAATTTGTATCAGAGTATTATGAAATTTGATGTGCATAACTTCCGATCAAATGTTTGTAAAGTTATGTTGTTATTTCCCTGCAATTCTGCATATCTTCAATGCAAGAACCTCAAGTTGAAATTTGACAAAGATTGGCCAACACGGTACTTTAAGTGCTGTCAAAGATGCTTTTTTAGCTATTATAAAAGTGTCACCTGTCCTTCCTGTGGTTCTTCCATTTCTGGGGAGATTCCAGTGGATAATACTCAAGTTGGAGGCGCATTTGTGAAAGGGCGACCCAGGCTGATAATTACCGATGATTTACAGGTCATTTCCCCAGTAAGTGCAACAAGCATTTGTTTGTTTTCGAAGCTAGGGGTCACGGATTCTAAAACTACAGAGGAGTCGACTTTCAATATGGGAGTTCAGGAGGTATTTCTTTCTTGTGGGGTGTGCCTTCAATTTTTTTTTTCATCAACAACAATAGAAGTGGTTTCTAACTAGCTTGATGTCTTTTTTTCCAGGCTTTGAATTTGCTTATGCATTCGTTTGTATCAAAGACACCATTGACTGAAATTCTTCTGAAAAACGAACCAATACCAAGTTTGGGAGATGTACATTCCTGTCAAGGAATATCAATTGATTCTCAAATGGATGGTGACACAATCAATGAGGAAGAGAAAAACATTTCTCTTAAGCTTGTAGTTAGCAAGTCTAAGAAGATTGTTTGTTATGCAGAGGCACAAGAGGATTTTGTTAATCTACTCTGCAGTTTCTTGACTCTCCCACTTGGGTTTATATTAGAAAAGATGCGGAATGTTTCATGGAAAGGCTGTCTCAATCAGTTGTACAAGAGTGTCGAAGATCTTGAGGAGCAATACTTGAAGTCAAATTTCCACAAGGAATTGTTGGTCAATCCAAAGCTTGCACCTGGTTTTCGATACGAGAACACTCTGTTAGGGATTGAGGAGACCTCGTTTTATTATGTCGACGAGAAGTTAACTACTGATAAGTCCTGTATTCCTGATAATGCTTCAGCGGAGTCAGTTAAACTTAATGTTGTGGATCCCAAATCTCATGAAGATAGAGATAAAAGTGCTCAAGGATTTCTGAAAGGACCTGCTACCTTCACAGTGACTGACAATCTAGTTGTAAGACCGTTATCTCTAATCCTTGAAATGTCTGTTCTTCAAGAATTGAAGGTACCTTTCACCGACATCGAGGACCATATCGTGCATATGGGCAAGAGGGAGGTGAGTTGTCATTTATAATGTTTGATGTTCATCCACTAACGTTATGCTTTATTAGTTTATGTGGAATCTTTGTTACCAGATTTCATGTCCCTCTGGGATTTCCTTATGAATCATCGGCAACACATATCACCTTGACTGATTCGTCATCTTATCCAACATCTCTAATCTGTCAGTGGAGTTCCCTTGTTACGGTTGTTGATTTGCATCAGTCCACAATGTTATGTTATTGATTGCTCTAAACAACAAGGGTAGTCAATTGTTGGAAAATGATACCATAATCCCAAACATGTAATCGAACACTTAATTGAGCCAATCCGTACGTCCACCTTCAAAGTTGAAGGAATCCCATTTTGTGGACATGTAACATTAGTTATCTGTTTAAATTTCTTTTAACTTCAGAGTTTGTTACTTTTTGCAGGCGTTGCTTCTTTTGGTGGCCTCGTTTATTGGTGATTCTGCTCTTACCAATACCTTCATTGGAAAGCTTAGGGAGCCAAAGCAAGAACAATAAGGAAGGATTGGTCACACAAAGAAGAGCTTGCTTTTGTTGTTACTGCATAAGAACTCCACAGTATTCCTATTTGTGAGATTAATTTTTATTTACATGGTAACATTTGGGTTTGAGATAAAGTGAAAAATTTGAGATCTGGTTGCGAATTGTTTGGACCTGGTTGGCTTTAAGCCAGTTTCGGTTAGTTTCTGTCCAATTTGTATGGTTTGGTTTGGTAAAAGGCTGCCGAACTATTACGATAAAGATCATTTGTATCTAGGCGAACCTTGTGATAATGTTAAGCTCTGTACTTATACTGTATTGTAGATCCTACTTTTATTAGAGATATTATTAAGGGTGGTTTGGGAGTTAGGCTTAAAAAAAAGCACATATGAAAAAAAGTTGCGAGGATTTTAGGTGTCTGGTAAAATGAAAAAATGACTTATTTTGAAAGCTGCTGTGAGAATAAGCTGAAATCAAAAGAAAAAGCTAAAACTGCTATTTGCAGCTTTGGAAAATTGGCTTTTTTTCAAAGCACACCGAGTTACAGTGCTCCTTTAATGAAAAGACCCACTATCAGATTGCTTTTTTTTCCAAAAGCACTTTTACAAAAAAGTTTAACAAACACTCTGTTGATTTATTTCACAGCCGCTTATTCTTATAGTAGCTTTTTTTCAAAGCATAGCAATACTAAACCAGCTCTTAGTGTAGCGGGACGTTGACACTTGTGTACCAAGACGTGTTCTCAGTGTGCTGAAGAATTTCTCCTATTGGAGATGCTGTAAGAGCTTTGAAAAGTCTTCAAGTCATCGTTGGGGTTTGCAATTTCGACCTAAACGACTTCCTTTTCAAAATTCCACTTCTACATAAATCAAGAGAACTTATTGAATTCACCTTTAATCTTTTCATCTGCCAAAGAAACCTATTGTTTTATGAATAGACTCCATTTTCGTTTAGCCAACGTTTGTTGTAGGTCTTATCCTTAGAATCCATGGTTACTAATCCTACTATTTGCGTGAAGGCCTTGGTGGACAAGGGAAGCAACAAGGTTATTTTCGTAGAGTCTGGTAATGATTTGGTTGATACTCTCTTCAGTTACCTAACAATCCCCATGGGAACAGTTATCGATCTTGCTCGTAAACATTCAGATCCTGCTGTCATTGGCTGCATGAAAAACTTGTACGCTAGTGTTGAGAGTATTGGGGAAGAGGAATTTTTGGGTAATATATTTAAGGACATGCTGTTGCATCCTCGCAGTGCAGCCGAACCTCTCTACAGGAACCTCAACTTCAAACTTCATAATGTTAGGCCCCTGCCCTACTATATGTGCTTTGATTCCGGATCATGCAAGTTCTTGAGTTATGAATCGGATGTCCAGTGCCCTCATCATTTGTTCCATAACGAACCAATCATGGACCGGGATAATTGCCCTTCAGTGGGGGCTTCTCAAGATGGAAGTGATTTTATAAAAGGGCGACTCTGGCTTACAATTACTGATGATTTACAAGTGTTTTACTCAGCTTGGAGTCGTCGACGTGAATGCTATGGAGGAGTTCACTTTCAATATCGGAACTGAAAGGTATTAATTATTTTTCACTATGACTTTTGTTTACGCTACTGATTTTAACACTTGTCGGTTAGAGTGTAGATGTAGGGAAGATGTGTGTCAAAATTGCTAGCTGTTTTTTTGTGGTTGTTTCTGACCTGGTTTTTTTTTTCCGGATTTTGAATTAGCTAATGACCTCTTTAGAATCGAAAGCACCGTTGACTGAAACCCTTCTCAAGCATAAACAAGAACCAAAACTGAGCAGTACCATTCCTAATCAAGCAATACCTATTGAATCTCAAATTTTAGTTGGTGACATTATGTGCCAGCAGCTAATCAAAGAAGATTGTGTGTTACGCAGAAGCAGGGGAAGATTTTGTTGATTTACCGTTCAGTTTCCTAACTCTGCCACTTTGGTTTATTGTGAAAAACATGAAAGAGGGCTCCTTGAACGGTTGCATTGGTCGGTTGTACAAATCTATCCATGATTTTGATGTTCAATACATGAACTCAATTTACCACAAGGAAATGCTGCTCGATCCCAAACTTGTTCCTGGATTTTTGCTTGGATGAGTCTTTTAGGAACTGAGGAGATCTCGTATTACTATGTGGATGACAAGTTGATTGATGATAGATCCCTTCTACCTTCTAATTGTTCATCACCGGAGTCATATAAACTCACAGTTGTTAATCCGAAACCCTACATCAATCAGAATCAAAGTAGTGATCGTGGATTTTTGAAGGGACCTGCAGTGTTTTTAGTAACTGACAATCTAGTTGTAAGGCCGAAATCTCGGATCTTTCTACTGCATGTTCTTAAATCTTCTAATGTGCCCTTGACAGATGTTGAGTATCAAACAGTGCATGTTGGTACGAAGGAGGTGAGTTATCATATCGTTCATTCTACTAAAGCAATTATTGGTTTTAATTTGTAGGTTCAATCACTTGGGTTCAATCACGTCTTCTAAGAAACACCTTTTAGCTTCATATATTGTTGAATGAATTGTTTTCCATCTTGAAACATTCAACTCTAATCCTCTATTGACTGTCCTTAGCTGAACTGCCTGCATATACTATCTGTGTGTCTATTAGTTCTTAAGTTTCAAGTCATCTGTTGATCGTCCCTTGAATTTGTTTCTTGTTGCAGGCTTTGTGTCCTTTGGTAGCATCTTTTGTTGGTGAATCTGCTCTATCCAATGTCGTCCTGAGGAATCGTGGGGAGCCGAAGCAAGAACAATGAGAAGGGATTTTGGTTATTCGAATAAAAGTTTGATTTTGTTGTAGAAATTAAGGTTGAATTTCCAACTGAATGTCATTGCAGAAACCTCAAATTTAAAATTCACAATGATGAGCCGACACGGTACAATGAATAAACATATCTTGAACAATTAAATGATAACGAAGATGTTGGTATTCAGGCTCAAAGAACATGAAAGAAGTCATGTTCGTAAGGGGTGAGAGAATGCATTAAACTAAGTATAATAAGTGGTATTGAACTCTCTATTTACGGAAGCCGAATTTACAAGTAAAAAGCAATTACCACTAAATCATAGTACGTAGTGGCAGTTTTAATGTTATTTATTAAACTAAGCTTGCAAAAATTAGATAGAGCAAGTAAAAATAAAGGTTGATAACTTGATACACTATGAAATTGAATCCCACCGCACCACCGATAACTTCATAATTTTCCTATTATCTTCCTAATTAAGGTTTTACCACAATACGCATGCCTGGATTTAGCCAAGTAGACTAGAGTCCAATGTTCACAAAAGTTCAATTACCCTTCCATGTAGTTTAGATAATTTAGTGTGATTATTTTATTCTCTAACAAAATAAAAAGTAAAATAATCTTTTTTTTACCCTAATACAACTCAAGTGACACAACAACCCTTTATACAGAATCATGCAAACAGATTTATGTGACTACTTTCAGTTCCTTAAGAGAATCAACCAAGATTATTATTTACCGGTACGTGTTTTGCCAAAATGGTTTACACGGTTACATCATATTATGTGGCTTTTACCGCAAGCAATGAAAAATGACTTGATTAAGTATTAAGTGTACTTGCATTCAGATCCTCTTCAAATCTCTCAGTTTGGAGCCGACGGACCGAGAAAATCGTTCAACAGAGGGAGAGAGAGAACCGAACCCTTAGTTTCTGTGAGGTATGTTAGTGTGATGGGCTAATAGGAGTCGTAGGATTTTAAATGAATGACCAAAATTTCTAAATATGTAAACTCCGGACTGCGAGATCCAAAGAAGATCTCTATTATGGGTTTATGTCCTAGTGTGATACCTTTATCTTCGAGATGGCCCTACGGGAATTTCAACGATCATTCGTCGTGCTAGTACATTTTTGGCATAATCTAGGGTTAGCTTTACAACTTCTATATTCTACAAGTTTGAAATGAAGAGGACTGGCTTTTGACGTGCCTTAGTGGGCGTGATGAATGATTCATGTATGAAACAGAATGTTTGTTTGTACGTAGGTATATATCACTATCACCAGCAAAACATGGAAGTTTCCATGTTCTTTCCCACACGTGGATATGAGGGTTTTCTTCGTGCACATTGACATATTATCTATCAATATTATAGACATATTATTGATATTATATCGACATTCCCTTTTTATTAGGCGACATGCTCAAAGAGAATCATTCACATGTAAAAACCAAACTCATTTTTGCAAATATTAAAATTGAGTATTTTGTCGATTTTTCTCCTGAACTTGTACTCCGATGTCAAATACCCCTTGGAACTTTTATTTGGACTAACTTTTCTCCTAAACTATTATAAATGCATTCACCTCTACATCGTCTTTTTCCACATTTCATATAACTTAATCTTCATTAAAAATGTCATATATCAAGAAGGAAAAAAAAACATATAACATTAAGAAAAGACAATAGAAAATAACATTTGGTGACATGCTTGTGACTTTCGTGGACGGAAAATTAGATGAAATGTGACAAATGATTCACTGTAAATCTGAGGATAGGAGTGAAAAATTAGCCATTTGTAATATTTAAGAAAAGAGGACCAAAATAAAAGCTTACGAATCAAATTGGCAATAGAGTACAAATTCAAGTCGAAAATCGGTGAAATACTCATCAAAGTACACAAAAGGAACGCTCCCGCAACGTCAAATAAAAAAATATTATAAAAAGTAGCTGAAAATTCCAAGCTAAAAAACTATATTTAAGCATCCGTGTCTTCCCTTCCCCGCTACCAGAACCTGTCGTTCTTCGCTTTGACTCCATTACAAAACTGCAGGTCTGCTCCCAAGCTCCCCCTCTCTCTCTCTCTCTCTCTCTCTCTCTCATCACTGAGAGCTCCATCAGTGAAAAATAGAACTGGGTTTGTTTTCAATTCTCTAATTTCGTTGAATTTTCGTTGCTAAAAGTTGATGTTTTTTGTGTTTTTCTTCAACGGAAGGTGATGATCGAGCTGTAATCGGTTCTTTTGAGGAGAGAGCAGGAATGGAGTTTTTGGGTATCGCCAATTCCAAGGATACAGGAAAGTACAGAGGTTTGTGGGCTAAATTCGTAATTTTGATCCTTCTTTGTAGTAGCGGAGGAGCAGTCTCCGGTTCAGAGTATTTGATCGGTCTCGGGAGCTATGACATCACGGGGCCGGCCGCCGATGTCAACATGATGGGGTACGCGAACACGGAGCAGGTCGCTGCCGGAGTCCACTTCCGGTTGCGGGCTCGGACATTCATTGTGGCGGAGCCGCAAGGGAAGCGGGTGGCGTTTGTGAATCTCGATGCTTGCATGGCGTCGCAACTTGTGAAATTGAAGGTGGTCGAGAGGTTGAAGGCAAGGTAAGCCATTTATATGACTAATTTTGGAGCTGAGCTGCAGTTGTTCAAAGTGTATTAAATTTTATAGTTTGAATTAATTTGATGGGTAATCTTATAATTCATGTTATTTGATATGTTGTTAATCTCTCCTAAAATCTTTTGCAATTTGTTAATTGGTATCAAGTGTATGCAGTTTGTATCGAGGCCGATTTCATCTTTTTCGGGTATATGATGGAAATGGTACTGGGTTTTTGTTTGGCAGGTATGGGGATTTATACACCGAAAAGAATGTAGCTATTAGTGGAATTCACACCCACGCTGGCCCTGGTGGTTATCTGCAATATGTGGTGTATATTGTGACATCTCTTGGATTCGTCCGTCAGTCATTTGATGTTCTTGTTGATGGAATTGAAAAAGTATTACTCAAGCTCATGAAAATCTTGCGCCGGGATCAATTTTTGTTAATAAGGGTAAGTTGGAGAGTCCTGGTCATTTTTTCTGGTTCTTTTTAAATACTAGTGACTGAATTCTAATATAAGTTTTGGTTCCTTACAGGGGAAATTTTAGACGCTGGTGTAAATCGCAGTCCTAGTGCTTATCTCAATAACCCTGCAGCAGAGCGCAGTATTTACAAGTATGATGTTGATAAAGATATGACTCTTCTGAAGTTTGTTGATGATCAATGGGGTCCAGTGGGTAGCTTTAATTGGTTTGCGACTCATGGAACTTCCATGAGTCGTAGTAACTCATTGATTAGTGGGGATAACAAGGGTGCTGCTGCACGATTTATGGAAGACTGGTTTGAAGAGAATGGTGCTAAAAGTGCATACTCTCATGAATTTGCTGCTGATGGAATCCCTCGAAGAGTCTCAAACTTACTTTATGACCGTCATGACAATCGTGAGTTATTCCTCAGTTGCATTTAATTACCTCATATTAACATAAAATTGGTTTTTGGTTATTCTGAAATAGCTGAATTGAACTATACATGCCAACACCCTCTTTAATGTGTCATGATATTTGTATGGGATGTTAATATTGATTTTCACGTGCATGATTTTTAAGCTAACTGTATTACATGCTGATGTTTGGTTGATGCTGCCTATACATATATGATGCACATGGTACTGAAAACAAAGAATGGTTGACTTGTCCAGTTGCCTGTGGATGTTTCCCTTTATAAATGAGGAGAACCAATGAACTGAAATTGTGTTGTAAGAAGATTTTTCAAAACAAACCAAGTATGCAAGAGGAGTTGCTGTCAAAATCATAGATATCATTTGACGTGTTAATAGGATCCCTTCCCTTTCAACTTTCTACCTTAAATGTTTTTTATCTGTGCTTGTTATAAACATATTTCACATAGTTTGAAGGAGACTTTGACGCATTTACATGTTATATGTTCGGTTTCACTGTACATTGAGAACTATGGTGAAACTTGCTACCAAAGGTGTAGAAGTAAGATTGTGTTGAGTCATCATATTACTTTGGTCATGGGAACAATAAGAAAGGGAGTAGAAATTGCTTATTTGTTTTTCTTTCTGATTCAGACCATGAGTTACTAGAGCTTGCTGCATCCTTTCAGTCTCGTCCTGGTAAGCCAGCAACCAGGACCTTGAGTGTTGCAAGACGTGTCAGGGGTGCACTAAGGCAGGCGGACAAGCCTCAATTTGTTTCTGCATTTTGTCAATCGAACTGTGGTGATGTAAGCCCCAATGTTCTAGGCGCTTTCTGTACAGACACTGGGTTACCTTGTGAATTTAATCACAGTACCTGTGGTGGGAAGAATGAGTTGTGCTATGGCCGTGGACCAGGGTATTTCTTCCTCTGCGCACATATATATCTTTAGTTACCGATATGTGTACATATGGTTATGGTTTATGACGCCTTTGCGAATGCTAAATTGCATCTTGTACATGACATTACAGCTACCCAGATGAATTTGAAAGTACACGTATAATTGGTGAGAGGCAACTCAAAAAAGCTGTGGATCTTTTCAACAAGGCATCTGAGAAGTTGAAGGGGAAAGTTGACTATCGTCATACTTATGTAGACTTCTCCCAACTTGAAGTAACCCTTCCCAAAAAGGGAGGAGGTTCGGAGGTGGTAAAAACATGTCCTGCTGCAATGGGGTTTGGATTTGCTGCTGGAACCACTGATGGACCTGGGGCTTTTGATTTCAAGCAAGGCGATGATAAGGTAACATGTAAATGCAATATTTCATATGTAGTGCATGTTCTATTCTCCCATTATAATTTCAAAGTAACTAATTTCCATGGTTATATCAGGGAAATCCATTCTGGAGGTTGGTGCGCAATGTACTTAAAAAGCCAGGCCAGGAACAAGTGGAATGTCAGAGTCCAAAGCCGATCTTGCTTGATACTGGTGAAATGAAGGAACCATATGACTGGGCGGTAGGTTGCAATTTCTGTGGACATACTTCTTTGGACAAAGATGTTGCATTATATGAAAACTCCGTAATGGTTGGATCATATAGTATCTCATTAAAACCTCTTAAAACCCTCCGTAGCTGTGTAGTTCACCTATTATATTAGATAGTTGAGGTCCGTATCTTATGCAAGATCATATCTGATTCATGTTATATTTGAGATAGGAAATAGCAGTTCCTGTTTTATCTGTTTGGATCATCTGCAAAGCCAAGATAAATCCAAATTATCTTTAATGTATAGGCGCATTTGAGTTGTATTTTGTATGAGTTACAAAACTATGCTTGGTAGATATCTTCTGGATGATATTTGCCATGAGAGATTAATGATTTAACATATTCAAATAACTCTTTCTCCCTGGTTTATGCAGCCTTCAATACTTCCAATTCAGATCATCCGAGTAGGACAGCTTGTCATTCTCAGTGTACCTGGAGGTAGTATCTTGTCCATCTTTTTATAAAACAAACACTAGGAATTAGTATTTAACGTTTTCAACTGAGGTTCATGCCTAAATACCTTCATTTTTTAATGTGTTGTCTGAGTTTTCTGCTTTAATAATTAAAACCAACCTATGAATACCCCATATTTCGGAAAATAGTAGAGGGGCTAAACAATGCTGTTGCAGTAATTTTCTAAGCACCACATTATGCATTCACTGTCCTCTTTCATTTATTATTTCCTTGTTCATAAGTTAAAGTTGCTTCTGAGCTCCTCTCTTTCTTTCAACTGGTCAACTTTTTATATGGCTCCTAAAGTTTTTGATGATTTTGTTTTAGAATTTACAACAATGGCCGGTAGGCGCCTCCGTGATGCTGTGAAGTCAGTACTGACTAGTGGTGGTAATGGCGAAAATGTTCACGTTGTTATAGCTGGATTGACTAATACATATTCACAGTATATCACTACCTTTGAAGAGTATCAGGTGCAGAGATACGAGGTCAGTTCCTATTTTCTTGAAGTGATGAATTGCTAATACATTCTTAAAAGAGTAACTGATAAAATATCATGGATAGATTAAATAAAATGAGCGATGAACTCATACTCTAAACGTTTTTCTAGTAACCAGAATAGATTACTTGATATTCCCTTGTGGGACTAGGAAGTGGTTCTAGGACTAAAGCCTCTGTGCTGTCAATGGTAAAATTCATGCCACATTCCATCAGCCTGTCTCCGAAAACAATTTGATTTCACCCTTTTTTCGTTAATTTTGTTTTTATTACTTCTATTGTAGCGTTATGAGTCAAAATTCATAAATAGGTGTATTTGTGTGAGGAATGTCATACTGTACTATATGTTCATTCTTTAACCTGTTGTGCTTCCCAGGGTGCCTCCACTCTGTATGGGCCGCACACACTCAGTGCCTACATTCAGGAGTTCAAGAAGCTTGCTACCGCTCTCACCAGTGGCAAATCCATTGCAGAAGGTCCACAACCCCCAGATCTCCTTGATAAACAAATAAGCTTACTTACACCAGTTGTGATGGATGGAACCCCTCGGGGCATTAGTTTTGGGGACTGCAGCTCCGATGTTCCTCAAAACTCCACCTTCAAGAAAGGCCATGACATGGTGACAGTTACCTTCTGGTCTGCTTGCCCTCGAAATGACCTTATGACTGAAGGTACATTCGCCCTTGTGGAAATTCTCCATGGAGAAGATACTTGGGTTCCAGCTTATGATGACGATGATTTCTGCCTGCGGTTTAAGTGGTCAAGACCCGCCAAACTTAGTACCAGAAGTCAGGCAACCATAGAATGGAGAATTCCTCAGTCTGCAACTCCCGGCGTATACAGAATTAGACATTTCGGTGCGTCAAAGAATTTCGTGGGATCCATTCGCCATTTTACAGGTTCATCTAGTGCATTCGTGGTAGCATAAGATGGCGTATATTATCTGTAACTTTATACGCGAATACTTGTTAGTATTTTGTGCTAATTATACGGCCGAGTAGTTACCACGGACTCTTATCTCTTGCGTGTACAGAGAGCATCTCGTATTCCTTCCTTTGTACTATGTTGCGGTGTAATCACGAAGTTGTTTGTGCAATATAATTTTACACTACTTTCTTGCTGTTTGCTAAATCTGGAGATTTGGTATGCAAATGTGAAATGCCGTCTGAGAATCCAACAATTTTTATTCCCTTTGTGGGAACGTGTGGGATGGGATCCTTGCCGGATTCTATTTGTAGGGATTCTAGAAATCTTTACATTATGGCTGTAAATTTTACAACGTGCGGTCAGCTTTCGTTAGATTCTAATTATGTTTAATTTTATATAAAAATATTTAAAATAATTTTTTATCGCACGATGTACGATAAACGGCTAAAATATGAGAATTTCTAATATCCAAATCCGGGACATGTGTGGCCTTTCTGTTCCTGTCTTTGGCGCAAAGTAAAAATAAAACCAAAACGGCAAAGAAAGATGGATAAACGGCATGCTCTTTGGATTAAAAATGGAGTTTTAACGAAAAGTTCGCAGTACTGTTCACTTTAACAAAAAATCATATTTTTACACTAAAAAAATAATATTGATACTATTTACTTTACCTTTTATTTTGTCTTTATTATTAAAACTTAAACTTTTTAAACTTTTTTTATTATTTTTCCTTTGAAATTTTGAAATCGAACTCGTGAGTCGTGACCCGTGGGAAGCGTGGCAGAGGCGCTGAGACTCTCACGCGACACACGTGCAAGCCATTCCGATGGAAATCCTAGAAAAAAAGCTATATAAACTCATTCAGCAGCTCATTTCTCCAAAATTTCAAATTTTCAAATTCTAGCCGTTCGAGAGCTCTCCCTCATTTCTCTCTCATTTCTTCCAAGCAAACCCTAAAACCGCAGCTCCTCTCTCCACATTTTCTCAAACCCTAACCTCCGTCTCTGCAAACCAAACCTTAATCCTCCATCATCAACCCCATACGATCTCGCAGCCATGGATTTGCTGCAACACCAGAAGGGTAGCAGCACCGATCTTGGTGCCGACGCACTCAGAGGTAAACTTCTCGCCCTCCCTTGTCGATTCATGCACTCAGGTTCACCGATTGAAATATACCATACAAGAAAAATCTTAAAATCCTAATGCTTGTGTTGTTTCTTTTGCATGGACCTGAGATCCGTTAAAAAAAAAGACGATGGAACACAGGAAATCGCAGATCCATCATTTTTGAAAGGTACAAAACGTGAATCCCTGCACTGAGTAAATTTTGATCTGTGTCAGTGTCTTTGAATGTGCAATCTATAGAGCCCTAGGGACCCCCAAAATTGAATTCTTGAATAAATTTAATCTGTGAAGTTTGCATCTCATGTACCATATCTGTGTTTGCATGCCCATGATATATTCGGATCCAGCAGGCATCAAGGGCAAACGGACCTGAGTTGTGAGGCTCAGATCCACTACATGGAAGGTATAAATTTTCACTGTCCTTCACTGTAAATAACTCATCTGTAAATGTATGAATCTGCTGGTGATTTTTTTTTTTTTTTTTTGAACTGAGTTTAATTTTTGTGCTTGTTTCCAGTAAGAGAAAAATGGAAATGAACTCTTGGACCAAACTGGATTAAGCAATGTGGACCCTTCTGCACTCGGACCCGAACTTTAGAAAATGTATTAGGAATTTCGAAATGGTCTGTAATTAATTCATGGGGTGGGAGTGAGTGGGTCTGAGTGCAGAAGCTTCATCAGAATCGCCATGGTATGATCTCTGAAAACCCCGCTTGTTAACTGATGTGTGCTGTGACTGCTTAGAAACATGCTTAGGGTTATATCTGTTAGATGTGCATGATTAGGGATGGCCTTAGAAACTTAGTCATGTAATGATAGGTTAGGACCTCATATCTGCTCGTTTGCTTTGGATTTCCGCCTTTCTGCCATATGATACTAGTAGAACTGCTGTGGTTGATGTCAATGTAGAATTGCTGCTGGATGCAGGATCCAGCCCTATATTATCCGTCCGGGGCGATCTCGTTTACCTTGCATGTTTTGAAATCAACCTGCATATTCACCAATTTTTGCATCAGAAGCATGTTTCACAAACCCTTTTCCAATCAAGATTTATTTCTGCAAGCAAATATGCAGGTTAAAAATTGTAACACGGATTTTGAAATCTACAAGTAAAATATGAAAGAGAAATTAAAAAAAACAAAAAACAAAATGTTTTTGGATTTTTCAAATATTGACTTTTTTTCGTAAAGAGTTTGACGTGGATAGCCAAATAAACCTAACCAATGGGATTGGCGCAAATGGAAAGAGTTTGACGTGGTCCCAATCGAGGCGATCGGATACAGTCAGATAGATATGGTCTAATTGAACAATTTTTGTCTAACAATCGAAAAGGATCGCTCCTAACAATTGAACGAAGCCGATGCAAATGGAAAGGGTTTGATGTGGTCTTAGTCGAGATGATCGAACACAGTTAGATAGACTTGGTCCAACTGAACAAGGTCGGTCTAACAATTGTACGGGGTCGGTCTAACAACCGAATGGGGGTTGGCAAACGGAAAGAATTTGATGCGGTTCCAGTTGAGGCGATTTGTCCAACAATCCAACGATGTCGATCTGACAATTGAAAAGGGCTGGTCTAACAATCGAACGGGGTCGGTCCAATAACCGAACAAGGTTGGTCCAATAGTTGAATGGGGCTAGTCTAACAATTGAATGGTGCTGGTCTAACAATCAAATGGGGTTGGTCCAACAATCGAACAGGGCCTATCCAACAACCTAATGGGGTTGGTTCAACCTGCTCAAATGGAAAGAGGCTAACCTGGTCCCAATCGAGGTGATCGGACACAGCGAACGGGGTCGGTCCAATAACCGAACAAGGTTGGTCCAATAGTCGAACGAGGCTAGTCTAATAATCGAATGGTGCCTGTCTAACAACCGAAGGAGGTTGGTTTAACAATCGAACAGGGCCTGTCCAACAACCTAATGGGGCAGGTCTAACCTGCTCAAACGGAAAGAAGCTAACCTGGTCCCAATCGAGGTGATCGGACACAACGAAGCAGACCCAGTCTAACAATCGAACGGGGTTAGTCCAACAACCGAACAGGGTTGGCTCAACAACTAAACGGAGCTTGAGTAAACGAAAAAGGCTAACTTGGTCCCAGTCGAGGCGATTGTATACAGCCGAATAAACCCAGTCTAACAATCGAACGAGGGTCGATCCAACAACTGAATAGGATTGGTTTAACAACCGAACATGGTCGGTTTACAATCGAATAGAGCTAGTTTAACAATCGAACAGAGCCAGTTTAACAATCGAACGAGGTTGGTTAACAACTGAGCGGTGTCGGTTCAACAATCGAATTGGGTCGACCTAACAATCGAACGGGGTCGGTCCAACAATCCAACAATTGAGCGAGGCTGGCCTAACAACCCAACAGGGTCGGTTTAACAACCCAACGAGGTCGGTCCAACAAATGAACGGGGCTGGTCCAATAACCAAACGGGGCTGGTCCAACAATCGAATGAGGTCGGTCTAACAATTAAACGGGGATTGTCCAACAACCCAACGGGGTCGGTTCAACAACCTGCGTAAACGGAAAGAAGCTAACTTGGTCCCAGCCGAGGCGATCAACATAACAAAGCAGACTTGGTCTAACAATCAAACAGGGTTGGTCCAACAACCAAAAAGGGTCGGTCCCTAAACCCTAAATCGAACGGGGTTGGCCCAACAACTGAACGATGCTTGCGCAAATGAAAGAGGTTAACCTGGTCTCAACCGAGGCGATCAGATATAGCCAAACAAACTCGATCTAACAATTGAACGAGGGTCAATCCAACAACTGAATAGGGTCGGTCCAATAATTAAACTGGGTCAGCCTAACAACTGAAAGGGGCCTGTGTAAACGGAAAAAGGCTAACTTGGTCATAGCTGAGGTGATCGTATACAACCAAATAGACTCGGTCTAACAATTGAACGGGGTCAGTCCAACAACCAAACAGGGTATGTCCATAATCGAACGGGATCGGTCCACACTTGAACGGGGCCAGTTCAACAATTGAACTTGGTTTAACCCAACTAGCTTCGGGCCAACCTAATTATGGTTCGGCCCACAACCCAATAAGGTTTGGCCCAACCCAACTACCCAACGGTGTTCGGCCCAAACTCAATGGCATCCGGCCCCAACGAAACCTAGTCTGGTCCAACGAAACTAGCTTTAGGGTTTTAGCGTTTCCTTCCATAATTTTTTCAAGTCCAACCTACTTAAAAAAGTTGTTCAGCAAGACGTTTGTTTGTAGAGTTTCCTTCGAGATAATGAGGAAGTTTGGAAGATATATTTTAGTTCTACTCGTTATGTGTGGAAAATCATATTGATTGTTACAGCAATATAAACTTTAGTAAGAAAACCCCCTACATAACAATTGTTGAATTAGTCCAGTTTTCATATCTTTCCAAAACAAAAATAACAAGTGTGGTTGGTTGTGAATCCTAGAACACCGTTGCGCTTGATTTTTTCAAATTGGAGTTTTCCTATTTTATCAACTTTAATCAAATTTCGTGATTTCATATGTCTACTCCATTTTAATTTGATTTATGCATGATACGTGTATACCATAAAATATTAAATATCTATTCCATAAATTATTAAAATACTGTTTGGGCCCAAAAATATTGTTTTGGGCCGAGTTAGATCTTTTTCGACCCAGTGGTCATGTACTGGTGTCATTGGGAGATATTCAGCCTATGGGCTCTGCGGTCGAAGTTGGCCATATCCTATCAGAAATTGAGAATGTGGACAAATCCTGTTATGAGAAGGAGTTTCGACGGGGTCAGGATGCTGAAATTGAATACGGTCTGATAACGAGTTATGTTCAAAGTCCTAGTAGGAATAAGATTGGCCGAGATAAGGTTGGATCATGAGAAGGAGTTCTAATCCGGGAGTGATTGGGATTCAATACAAGTTGGCTGCTATAAATAGGGAGGGAAGACATCGAAACAACCCCCTTCAATTCAACACACAAATTGCCCTGCGCATTCTCTCACTCTACGTGAAACCTCTAAAAAACCTTGAGATTTTTGTTTTCCTCTTTTCGCTGACACATATTCAGTTTGGATAAACAACACTGTGAAGGCAACCGGCGAACATCTTCAGTTTGGATAAACAGCACTGTTGCCGTAGAATCAGCCGACCGTGAACATCTTCAGTTTGGATAAACAACACTGCGACAGGGCTGACCGGCTATCTATCCAAGTCTCGGTCGAGAAGGATTTTCGAATCCTTATCGGCATAGGTCATCTCGTTAGCATTCTCGGCGAAGCGAGGTGTTACAAGTTATTATACTCGGCACATTGAACGCCGAGTCGTTTATGATTGGTTATTCGCAAGTAGGATTTAGAGTTTGGCATTCTGACGGTCGAACCACTTTCACAATCAAGACGTATATTCGTTTTGAATATTTGTGTCCCTATACTCTGGTGTCAATTCGGTGTGCTTATACTCTTACGAATATAATCACAGTGATCGAATTTGGCGCCAACAATTTGTGAACTTCGCAGAACTAGTAGCTTTGTCTTCAAGCTCTAGAACCTGAAGGCCGAGGCGTGTTCCTTCCTCGACCGTAATCGCAAGATTGAAAAGTCAGCCGCGCACCCAACGTAACATCAATAAATTTTACTCCTCGGTCGACGAGTTGGCACACTCCGCATACAACTGAATGACGTAGTTAGCTTACTAATTACTCGGCCTACGCGCCACGTAGGCTTGGTAGTTTTTAGGGTCAACATTTTGGCACACTCAGTGGGACACAGTGCTAAGACTACGAAGTTCATGACCATCGAGACACGATCAGTAAAAAAGAAAACGACCATGGGAAAATCAACGATCGATCTACCGGTTCAAAGTCCTGGACAAGAGGTATCACATGTGTGAAATCCTATCGTCGTCGTGACCCCTAAGGCTACAGGTGCAACGTACCGAGAGAATGAAGTGTGCCTCGATGGCCAGCCTCGAAATACAGAAGTACTTAACCGAACTGCATGCGTTTTCATTGAAGGAATAGTGGAGAACTGTGATGAAGATGGTGGTGAAGGTTCTGATCCTCCAACTAGGTCGTTTCTTCTAAGACGACTTGACGAGCAATCTCGGTAAGTGGAACAAACAGTAGGCCATAAAATGAACAATTTGCTTGAAGCGATACAAAGCACTGGAGAGACCCAAACCCGATTCCTCGAACTAATAGTTAATAAAGTCTTCGAATTGAAACCTGTTGATCAGGCTCGACAGCTTCCACTTAAAAGTAATTCCTTACAAGCCGAAGTTGTGTCTACTCGGCCTAAGACAATTGACTTAGAAAAAAGGGGAGGATCGAGTAGTAGGTCAGATGGATCCGACCAGGGAGTGGAAGCAACACCCGTTGATATGACCGAGGTCCAGTGGATGATCGATTTGGCCATGAAAAAGGGGCCGAAGTTCCCTAAATTCATCCATCTGTATCCAGCTTATGTGGAAAGGTTCGAATATCCAAAAGGTTTCAAAATTCCAGATTTTAGCCTTTTCGCTGGAGAATCATGCTTATCCTTGTTAGAACATGTGGCTCGTTTCACCGCGCAATGCGGAGATGTTAATAGTGATTTTCACAAGCTGTGACTGTTTAACTTTTCGGTGACCGGCTCAGCATTTGCCTGGTATATCAACCTCCCACCTAATTCTGTTCAAAGCTGGGAGAAGTTGGTCAAGAAATTTCACGAGCAGTTTTATCGGCCAGGGATGGAAATGTCAGTTTCTTCATTAGCAAGGATGGCTCAAGCATCTAATGAGTCACTAATGGATTATCTTACCAGATTTAAATCGGCCAGGAATTGGTGCTGAGTGCCTCTACCCAAAGTCGAATTTGTTAGACTTGCTCTGAACGGCATCGACGTAGATTACAAAAAGAAATTCTTGGGCGTAAACTTTCGGGATATGTATAAACTAGCCCAGCATGTCGAGCAATATGATTATTTGCTCCGAGAATAGAAGATCTCGAAATCCCCATCCCGATGGACGATTTACAAAAACCCCACGGTCAGTTACGCATCGACCGAATGCGAAAAGTCTCAATACATCAGCGTGGACGCGGTCGAGATAGTAATAGATAAACCATACGTGTGCAAGGCATTGACTCCAATTAATTCCAAGGATGCCAAAACCCGCTCGGCCACGGAAGGAACAGCGAAAACATCGAAAGTTTACACTTTTGATATTACAAAGGCCGAAGCAAT